AGTTGCTGTATGTGGGACACGGCCTCAGCATGGCTGGAGAAGCGGCGTGTGGGTGAGCGCCCGGGATCCGAACCTGGGCCGCCAGCATCGGAGCGCGCGCACTTAACCACTAAGCCACGGGGCCGGCCCTCTTTCTTCTTTTTCTTTATGTTTTGGCTTTCCTCTCTCCCCTTTTGGGTCTCGATGCCCTTTTCCTTCTATTTTTATTGTCTTGGTGTTGTTCTTGGCACTTTCGCTTCTTTGCACATTCGCAGGTATTGGCATCCCCCAGAGAAGCTGACTGTAATCGGGCATTATTTTTAACCTGAAATGACTCTTAACAGCACAGCAAGATGCAAGTGTTGGGCTGGTTCAAATCCAGTGATTGTGACTGGACAAAACTCACCTCCCCCTGGTCTTATTCATTATGAAAAATCGAATGAAGCATTCAGAGACTTTGAAAATAAACACTGATCCCACCTCTCATCCAGCACTCCTCTTTCCTGGCTTTTTTCTCTTTAGTTGTTTACATACCTGTTCTTCTATACGATTAAGCTTAATTGTGTTGTCTTCACTTTTCTTTGCTCACTAAATCAACAGCAGGTTTGCGGACTGCTTTTTTCCCTTCCCACAGTAAAACACCAACATGTGTAATTCTTTCTAGCCAAAATCTTAGTAGCAGCTTAATTCCCACCTCCCCCGGCTACCCCGCCCCCGACTGGGGGACGGCAGGAAGAAGGCCATGGACACTGTGGGAAGTGTCAGCCCTCAGTCGCCAACCAGACTGAATCCAGGTGTGGCCTCGCCTGGCCACGTGACCTAGACGAGGTGCTTACCTTCTTTGAACAGCCATGTCTTAGGGATCTGATGGTCAGAATGTGGAGTTTCTTCTGTGCTGGGCTGAGGACTTTGAACTTCCTGCCTCCCATGGTGAAAGTGATCTCTGTCGAGCTCTCTCCCAGTAGGGGCAGGTCAGTGTGCATTTTTGCACAGTCCCTGGGGGGCTGGTGTAGGACAGGATGGGTGGGGATGAGACCAGGGGCAGGGAAACCGGTCTGAAGCTTGCATGTCTGGTGATTCATGATGACGAGCAGAAACTCCTGCTCTGATTCCGGAGCCAGAGACCTATCTCAAAGGATAGGGGTTTCTTTTCACTCTGAGTTCCTGGACACATTGAAATCCCATCGTTCAGCAAATGGAAATCGACTCTGGGCTGCTGCTCCTTCCTGAATGACCGTGTTGTTTGTGCTGGAATTGGGACTTATTAAAGAGCTTTAGCAATTTCTTTTTCTAAATCGAGTAAGTGTGACATCTGTGTCTGAAAATAAACTACAGTCTGTGTATAGAGGACATTTAAAGTGCATACATTTTGATTTTCACTATTGTGTACTTTGGTAATGACAAAACTGAGAGGACGACACTTGTTTTAGAGAGGGATGTGTCCATTTTTGACCAGTATCTGTGGTTTTGTTTACAGATTCCCACTGGAAATCCATTATATGAATCTTACTACAAGCAGGTAAGTTTCACTGGTGTCGTTCTGGATTGAACTAGAAGGCGAGTGACTGGAAAGCGCAATCCTGAATTGAAGCCCACCGGGGCCTTCGATCCCTTCCTGTTCTCTGAATTATCGGCCAACAGTCAGTGTGATGCTTTACCTGCTGCCCCATCTGTTGAACCTCATCTCAAATGTTGCTCCCATTCCAGGTAGACCCAGCATACACAGGACGAGTTGGGGCGAGTGAAGCTGCGCTGTTTCTAAAGAAGTCTGGGCTCTCAGACATTATCCTTGGGAAGGTATGTGATGAGCGGTAGTGATTTCTCTTTAGCGGCCACCCTCAGGGCTCCACTGACAGATGAAGGCCAGCCTGTGCAGACCCCTCTTTGTGGGGTCTACACTCCTCTTGGGGAATGGGATGGCCACTGCGAGCCTCTCAGGGCTGTAACTGGTGGATCCGAATGCTCTGATGGCAATTGCCACCTGCTGCTTAGGTAGCAGACAAGAGGCCTGAGTGCTTTTGGGGTCTTGACAGCTTATGGATTTATGTTGGCTTTGGAGCTGAGTGGACCTGGCTGTTCTTGGGGGTCTGCTACTGACCAGCTGTCTGCCCTCGGGGGGAGGGAGGGGTGTGGGTCATTCACCTGCTCCGAGTTTGGGGCCTCTCTGGACTACCTGTAAGGCCCACATGCAGCAATGGCGGCTCCTGTGTTGTGAATAAATGGGTAATGATTGACGGTCACCCTCACAAGCATTTTTGTGTTTCTGCAGATATGGGACTTGGCCGACCCAGAAGGTAAAGGGTTCTTGGACAAACAGGTATATACACGTATACACAGAGCAAGTGGAGGCACTGGGCCAGAGCCCCCAAGGCCAGGTCACCTCTGCGCTTCCTTCTTCGTTGTCGCCGCTGACAAGTATTTCTAGACATAAGGCAGCCATCAGACTGTTAAAATGGAAAGGTTTCATTTCGAAATACAGGTCTTTTGAACACTTGGAGCCATCTTTCATGGTTAGCGTATCTTTCAATATTTTGTATGCTTGTAAGCAATTAAAATGTTTTAAAAACTTTTTATTTTGAAATAACTTCAGACTCTCATGGAAATTGCAAAAATAGTTTAGAGAGTGCCCGTGTATACTTCCCCTGCTCCCCCAGTGAGAGCAGCGTACGTCACCGTAACAATGTGCTCAGAGCCAGGTGCAGCACTCAACCAGAGGCTTACTCAGAGCTGACCCATTGTACATGTACTTTTTTGGGGTTTTTGGTGTGTATAGTTCTATGTAATTTTATCGCTTGCGTAGATTCGTGTAACCACCACCACAGTCAGGATACAGAACTGCCCCAGCACCCCAAAGACTCTCCCTCATCCTGCCCCTTGGTAGTCACACCCTAAGCCCTGGCCACCACTGGCTCCTCTCCATCCTAATTTTGTCATTTCGAGACTGTTCTATAAATGGAAGGTATAGGCCTTACAAATGATTTTAAATGGTCATATTTTAGTTTAGTTCAGCCTTTCCCCAAACTGCATTCCAAGGGATGTTGTTCCTGTGTCCCAAGACCCGTGGCCGAATCTGTTGGGAAAGCACTGTCAGCTGTCCCTCCCTTCCTTGAGATCATGCTGCGAGTCTGCATGGTGACGGTTCTGAGGATCTTTGTGGAAAAGAAACCTGTTACCTTTGCCTAATGCAGTTCCCCTAAACTTATTTATGTCCCTTTTTTTCTACACTGTGCATGGGCGTTCTGTGGACATCAGCCTGAGAAAGGTGATCTTGTGCTTATTCCTTTGAAGAAGTTTTAAAAACCATAATTGTGTTTATAGCTTTAAAAAGGTCCGTGTTCTTAGGCCAGTTGATCAACTAAAAAAAATTAGGTGATGCCTAGAGAGTCCACTAAGCCTGTGGTTTGGCTGGTTCTGGGTTGGGAGGAGGGTGGGAGGAGCCAAGGCCCCTGCTGGCCTAGCTCAGGGCTTTGGTCCCTGTGTGGGAGGTGAAGTCCATGGCAGGCCGGGGGCCAGCAGAGGCTGCTCTGTTCAGAGAGGCCAAGGAGATCACACTGAATTGTGAGTGTCAATTCCCAACAACTCTATTTCAAACCATTTTTAAAAGTCAACATGTATCAGAACCATCATTTATAGTCTTAAACGTATTAAGTGTGCTACTTATATAATCTAGCATTTCCTAAATGTTGGAAGCTCATTATTTTTGAAAATACATTTGTTTGAAATTTTACAGTATTCAGAACACAATGGGCTAAGTCCGTTTTAGTGTAGTCATTTAAGCAGTGCTCCCAGGGTGAGACCAGCTCAAGTTGACACTGTAAGTGACTTTTGCACGTACAGTCTTCCTTGTCGAAGTGAAGAGAAATCCCTCTTTCTCCGGAGCCCGCTGCCACAGACAACTCTCCCCCTGCTGCCGACAGCTGGGTGGCGTTTACACCTTCCCCTTGTTTTGGATTTGCAGGGTTTCTATGTTGCACTGAGACTAGTGGCCTGTGCACAGAGTGGTCACGAAGTTACCTTGAGCAATCTGAATTTGAACATGCCACCACCTAAATTTGTAAGTGTCAAACTCCTTCAAGTTTATGTTTTTCTATTACCTTCCACCTATCAGTCTATCTCTTCATGTTTTCTGTCTCCCCCTTTTTTTATTGAGGTGATAAATTTACATAGCCTAAAATTAACCATTTTAAAATGAACAGTTCAGTGGCATTTAGTGCAATGAACAATATCGTGCAACCATCACCTCTATCTAGTTCCAGAACATTTTCATCACCCCAAAAGGAAATCCTGTACATGTTAAGTAATCACTCCCCATTTACCCATCTGTCAGCCCCTGCAGCCACTAATCTACTTTCTGTCTGTACGGATTTGCCTGTTCTGGACATTTCATAGAATCGTACATCTGGTTTCTTTCACTCAGCGTGATGTTTTCAAGGCTCATCCACATTGTGGCATGTGTCAGTGCTTCATTCCTTTTCAGTGCTGAATAAGAATGCATTATATGGTCTACCCCATTTTGTGTATCCATTCATCTGTTGGTGGGCATAATAATTCATGTACAAAGATTTGTTTGCACACGTGTTTTCACTTCTTTTGAGTGCATACCTAGGAGTGGAATTGCTGGGTCATATGATAATTCTGTGTTTAACTTTTTGAGATCTTCCCGTTTTGAAAGCACTTTGAAATGTGTATCCTTCCAATAAACACAACTCCCTGTGATTTAACCCTGTGCCACCACAGTGGAATGTTCCTCTTTCTTCTCAGCATGACACCAGCAGCCCTTTGATGGTCACGCCACCTTCCGCAGAGGCCCATTGGGCTGTGAGGGTAAGTGACCGGGGATGGTGCCCCTTGGCTGCCCTGCACAAGTAATTGTTTTAGCCATATATGATATAGGACGATTGTATCTATTCTGTTTCAGAGTGAGTGCTGCAGAATTTGGATGAAATACTTGGTCAAATTCAAGTCTTGAAACAGCTATGGCCTTTTACTGTAATTAGATGTTGCCTGCTAAGGCAGTTAGCTAAGTTTCAGGAGTCGGGTTCTTAAAATTCTATTGCATTTCTAGGTCACGTTCCGTGGGTTTTGCTGCTTGGGTTGGTTAATCAGGATAGAAGGGGAAATTGTGAGAACTTTCAGGGTTGAAGACTTCCAGCATGTCTTTGTAGCTCTCTCTCTTATTTCCAGCCAGTTTACATGTTATACTTCTTTCCTTTCTGATGCTCTCATTGCGTTTTGAAAAGCTTCTCTCAGCTCTTAGTGTTGTTTTTAAGACAGGGGATATTGTGCCTGTAAAGCTGTGTTACTGATTCTAGAAATTAAGGAATGAGTAGTGTCTTCTAATAAGTGCGGAATTACTCCTAAAGGGAACACACTTGTTGTGGGAGATTGTTGCATTTCCTTACTTTTATTTGGCTTAAATACTAATATTAATAACAGTCTTTCTATAAAATAAGCCCCCCCCCCAATCGAGTGCTTTTGCCCTGTTTTTATGCAGTTGGGCTGTTCCCTCCTTGGAAGTGTTTGGGTGGGGAAGGTCTATGCAGGGACAGGGCAGGAGGAGGCATCATGTGACCGAGGAGACGCAGTTTGCCAGTGGAGATCATAGTACCTAAGGATTTCTTTCTCTGTAGTCCAGTTGTACAACGCCTACTTTGAAAAAGAGCTGCTTTGTTGTGAGAAACAGTGCCAGAGAGATCTTATTCCTTGAACCGTTCCAGCCCTTTCTGGCAGGGGCCGTGTTGAGGCCTCACAAGAAGGGCTGGTGGCTGAGGAGCCCATGAGGCTTTGCAGAGGGGAGTCAGGGGCAGGAGTGATGCCATGATGGGGCCGACTGTTTTCAAGAGACTCGGCATTCCATTCAGAGAAACAATGACAAACCCAAAGTGCCACAGGCTCTTTTCTGTTGTGAACGTTCCTGGGCTTCTGGAAGCACCTAGAAGCGAGTCTGAGGGACGGGGTCGGGGGGGTCCCAGACACTCAGGGCAGACACAGCACGTCTGTCTTCTCAGTGCTCACAGCTGCTTATGTGGGCAGCGTCTGCTTGTTTTTTGTCTTCTTAATTGTGGTAAAATACATGTAACATAAAGTTCACCATCTTACCCATTTGTAAGTGTCCAATTCAGTGGCATTAGGTACATTCACATTGGTGTGCAGCCATCCCCACCATCCACCTCCAGATCTTGTTCATCGTCCTAAACTGAAACTCTGTCCCATTAAACACTCATTCCCCCTCGCCCTGCCCCGGCCCCTGGGACCCACCATCCTACTTTCTGGTGCTGTGAATTGGATTCCTCTAGCGACCCCGTATAAGTGGGGTCGCACAGTATGTGTCCTGTTGTGTCTGGCTTATTTATTGTAGCATAACATCCTCACGGTTCATCCACGTTGTAGCGGGTGTCAGAGCTTCTTTTGTCTTTAGGGCTGAGTAACGTTCCGGTGTGTGGATGTCTGCATTGTGCTTGTCTGTTCTTCTGCTGATAGACACTTGTTGGAGGTGTTTTCTTCGCATCCCTGTGGCTGCAGCCCGTGGTCAGGGCAGGCAGTGAGAGCTCTGCTGTCCCCGGTTCCACTCGCTGCGGGCTTTCTTTGTGTAGGAGGGCAGACAGGAGGGCCCTGCCCAGACCCTCCTCACTGATGGCCCCCTCTGCACGCTGCCTGCATTTCAGAATCCAGAACAGCAGTTGCTGCTACTCTGCATTTTAAGTCCTGCCCAGACCTTACTCTATTCGTGAGGAGCTTTTATTATTTGTATTTTGACTGTGAGACACAGAGGACTTCTTAGGCTTAAAGTTGATTTGGATAGTTAGTTGAGTCTTTGCTTTACTTTTATATTTGGGTTTTTAGTTCTTTTAGTTCTGTAGATTGATATCCAGATTTACTTCTTCATTTTAAAGAACTAAAATCTGTTCACGCTTTTGCCTTTCTCGTCCTAGTCAGCTCCTAGCAGGTAGGTAGAGTGATCTTTGTCTCCCTGGCCCAAGGCCAGGTCTTCTGTCTCCCGTTGACCCTGGCCACCAAATCCATAGTGGTCAGAGAGCAGTTTCCTCGGAGGCGTAAGTTCACTCTAGGGGAGCTATGAGACTGTCCTGTGCTCTGAGGCGAGGCCAGTGGGGGCATCCTCGCCCGTTTGCATTCAGCCTTAGCTCAGAGCTCATTTTGGACTCTCTCACAGGCACACTTTCTTACTCACTCAGGCTGTTTCCTTCCAACCAGGTGGAAGAAAAGGCAAAATTTGACGGGATTTTTGAAAGCCTCCTACCCATTAATGGCCTGCTCTCCGGAGACAAAGTCAAGCCAGTGCTCATGAACTCAAAGCTGCCTCTTGATGTCCTGGGCAGGGTAAGTGGTTCCTTCACATCCTGCACTGCTGCTGAGTTCAGTTGGCCCCAGGCTGGCTCCCCACAGACCCTTACGAGGCTTGACACATGGCCGTGTACCCACCCTCAGGGTCTTTGGAAGAGCCAGCATGGATGGAGCACTTGCTGCAGTCAGGCTCGCTCAGGGCCTCCTGGGGTGTGGCTTGCAGCTGCTCCCCAGCCTGGGGAAAGGTGCTGGTGTGGGCCCATTGCACACGTTGGGAGGCAGCCTTGGAAGTGAACTCGCTGCCTAGGGCCCAAGGACGGGCAGAGCCAGGACTCGAACCCAGACCTGGTATTTCCCCCTCTACTGTGTTGTTGGGAAGAAGTATGGGAGCATGTGTCTATATCTCCTTATTAATTTTTTATTTTAATTACTTTTTTTCTGCCTGTGAGCTTAAGGTAAGGGTACTTTAAATTCTCCTCCAAGTTTAGAAAAAATTTTACACATTCTCTTTTTTTTTTTTAAAAAAAAACAAACCTCAGTTTTGTTCCTGTTAAATACAAGTTTTTAGATAAGGCTTTCTATTCCAGACTGTGTTCCCTCTACTGAGGTTTGCATTATGGCCTCATGTGTTGGCTCTGTGCACAAAGCCCACTTCCGCACGGCCGTTTCCATGCTGGGTTCCCTACTCTGACTCAGGGGATGAGTGTTGTCTGTCTGGACGGGATTGCTGCCACTCAGCAGGCATGGGCCCAGAGTGGGTGGACTGAATGTGGGCCCTGCTGCCCTAGGCCCCTGCGGGCGCCACCTCTCATCTAGCTCCTGACTTTTGGGGGAACCTTGGGGAATGGGGCAAGTTTCTGCCCCTGTGGGTTCACCTCGTTACGTTTCTGTTTAAATATCACTTGCAGACACTGCCCCATTTGATTGGACCCAGTTCAAGCCCAACTAGAAACTTTGTTTTGAAGTGAGGCAGCTAAGAAAGGGGATCTCTCAAATCCCTGTGTCCTCCTCTTGGCTGTGGTGTGGTGTAGACAGAGCCCTGTGATGGGGACCCACGCTGATCACCAGCAGTCTTCATGAGGTGTGAGTTTTATTATTTTTTATTTTTATTTTTGTGAGGAGATCAGCCCTGTGCTAACATTTGCCAATCCTCCTCTTTTTTTGCTGAGGAAGACTGGCCCTGGGCTAACGTCCGTGTCCGTCTTCCTCCACTTTATGTGGGACGCCGCCACAGCATGGCTTGCCAAGCAGTGCGTCAGTGTGCGCCCGGGATCCGAACCGGCGAACCCTGGGCTGCTGCAGCGGAGCGCGCACACTTAACTGCTTGCACCACCGGGCCGGCCCCAATGAGGTGTGAGTTTTAATTGCAGCAGGATGAGGTGACCCGTTCCCGTGTGGTGTGTGCCTTTACTTGGCGTCCTTGCCAAGTACCTGACTGTTGGATATGATAATGGCGGACTCTTGTAGTGCCAAATTACGGGCAAGACAGAGAGACCCACAGTGATGGAATGTGCTTTATTAGAAGGGAGCTGCGGCTAGGAAGGGCGTGTTCTGCAAATCTTCTGACCTGCTCCAGGTCTTGTGGCACAGGGCTCACTTCTCATCTGCCCCTCTCTCCTCCCCTCCTCCCTCCACCCACCAACCCCTCTGTGCACCCAGTGTATCTGTGCATGCATGCATCCATTATCCATGCACCCGTCCATCTGTGCACCCCTGCATCCGTGCACCCTTCCATCTGTGCGCGTGTGCATCCCTGCACCCATCCATTTGTGCATGCATGCATCTGTGCACCCGTCCAACCGTGCATGCATGCGTCTATGCATATACTCATTCATTCGTGCACCCATGGACCCAAGCATCATGCATCCATTCAGTCATTCAGCAAGCATTTTTCAGAGCCTGCTTTGGGCCAGGTCTTGTGCCAAGCGCTGGGAAGATGGGGATGAAATTAGATACAGTCCAGGAGGTTAAATAAATAAATAATGGTTAAGATGCTGATATTTACCTATTGAGGGCTTAGTATGTGCCAGGCCGTGTTCTAGCACTTGGCATGAATGAAGTCATTGAGTACTTGTAACCACCCTGTTACGGATGGTGAGGAAACGGGGCCTTCAGAGTGTCCAGTAAGTCGCCCCGGGTTGCACCGAAAGAGAAGGAGGTCTGTGGTTCGCAGAGCCCTCACTCTTCCCTGGCACCCTCCACCCCTCCTTGATCATCACGGTTCTGCCTGGTGAGGACAGTGGTAGAGGGGAGGTGCTTGACCTGCCTGAGCAAAGAGGTACAGGGCAGTCAGGGAAAGCCTCCTGGAGCAGGTGCCCAGGTTATGTTCTCCTGAGTAAAGAGATGGGTGGTAGACGATGGGTCGAGAAGGCCATGCACATGACAGCATGGGCAGAGGCACCCTGGCATGCTGGATAGGCTTGGCATTCTCACTGGGCAGTTCCGCCCCAAGGGATGTTGAGCAACACCTGGAGACGTTTTTGGCTGTCCCACCTGGGTCGGGTGCTATTGATATCAGGTGGCTGGAGGCCAGGGGTGCTGCACAACATCCTACCACGCACAGGACTCCCCACCACAGAGAATGATCCAGCCCCCAAATGTCAGTGGTGCTGAGGGGGGAAGCCCTGGGCAGGGGAGGACTGTGGGGCCAGGAAGCTGTTCCAGTCCTAGCTCTCCCGCATATGTGCCATATCTTTGGGAAAGTTACTCTTCCTGAGCCTCTGCTTCCAAAATTGAGACCACAGGCATAAAGCACTCAGGCCAATGCCACACACCTTTAAAAGGGCATCCATATGCTTGGGGGGACTGTGAACAGTTTGGGGTCCCCAGAAGTCAAGTTGGAGTCCCAGGAGGCTGGGCTGGGGTGCGGGGGCCCACCATGGGCACAGGGGACTCCATGTGCCAGGCTGAGGGGCAGAGACTGGATGCCATTGGTGTGGCAGGGTCAGAGTGCATTCTAGAGCCAGCTCTGTGGTTACCCTGGGGACAGGACTAGAGGCAGAGAGGTCAGCTGGAGGCTCTGGTCTCTGGAGTGCTGGAGAGGCCCAAGCCAAGGACATAGCAGCAGGGGTGGAAAGGAGGACCCACAGGTGAGAAGCGTCCCTGGGCTGAAGTTGCTAGTGGTTGATCAGGGGGCAGGTACCAGTGCATGAAGCCTCATGGATGGACCCCAGGCGTCTGCTTAGCTCTGGGCACTGGCACTGTGCCCAGCATTGTCCAAGTCAGACCTGGCGGTCTGGGAGGGCTAACCTGGGTCAGGAAGCCAGCGCCTGATTGTGCTTTAGGAAATCCAGCACATGGCCTTTGATCCGGCCTAGAAACCCATATCCGCCTAGCTGGTCTTCAGGGTGCTGGTGGGCCTAGCCCATTCCATGGCACCTGCCTCAGCATCCACTGACGGGAGAGGAGACACAACCCCACAGACCTGTTCGAATGTGTGCCCACGGCCCTGCCCAGTGGGAATGGGGGCGAGGGCTAGATTTGTGCTTTGTGTGTGTGTGTGTGTGTGTGTGTGTGTGTGTGTGTTGGGGCTTCTGTTCAGAGGAACACCTGCACCAAAACCAAACCATCTAAAAATCGGGGTGGACATGATTATAACCACAATCATTTGTTAGAGAAAACGAACATAATATGGCGGAAAGGATCTTGGAATTGACAGTACTTCATCACAAGATGGTTTTTCAGAAAACTCACACACTGGTTCTTAAATGCATTTTGATCGCCTCTTCTTAACCCTGCTATGCACTGAGCCCTCAGAATCTAGAGTTCTGGCTGGTACGCTTGCTGCCTATGGGCCCTACCCCCCCAGTAAGCCTTGGTATCCCCCCAGTAAGCCTCAGTATCCCCCCAGTAAGCCTCGGTACCTTCCCCAGGAAGCCTCGGTATCCCTCCAGGAAGCCTTGGAACTCCCCCAGTAAGCCTCAGTACCCCCCAGGAAGCCTTGATACCCCCTAGTAAGCCTCAGTATCCCCCCAGGAAGCCTTGGTATCCCCCAGTAAGCCTCAGTACCCCCCCCCCCAGCAAGCCTTGGTACGCCCCCAGGAAGCCTTGGTACCCCCCAGTAAGCCTTGCTGCTGTTTGCCTTGCAGGTCTGGGACCTTAGTGACATCGACAAGGACGGGCACCTGGACAGAGATGAGTTTGCTGTGGTAGGTTCCTGCCGGGAGTCTCTTTTCCCACTCTGTTGAGGAAGGAAATGTGCAGCTCATGTGGGAGTTTCTGGATTCATTTTTTTTCTTCTTTTCTTTAATTTTTCAAGTGTTTATTTTGATATAGCTTGGATTTAAAGAAAAGTTGCAATAGTATAGAGAGTTCTTTTGAATACCTTTCGCTCAGATTCCCCAGAATTGTTATTTTACTAGTTTGCCTCATCTTTCTCCTCCTTCCCTCCCTCCCTCCCTCTCCCTCCACATGTGTGTATGTATACACACACAGGAATTTTTCCTTTGAACCATTTCAGAGTAAGTTGCAGACACCATCCCTCTTCATCCTGTAATACTTGAGTGTATGTTTCCCCAAACCAGGGAATTCTCTTACGTTACCACTCTCTGTTTCAAAATCAAGGAAATGAACATTGACATCACCTAATTTATTCTAGTATCTATTATGGTATGTCAGATCTTGTATCTTACACGTTACTCTATCTATTATTACATTGTCTATTATCTAATCTAGGGATATACAGATTTTGCCAGTTGTCCCCAAAACATCCTTTGTAGCAAAAGAAGTTCCAGCCTCATGTGTTATGTTCCATAGCCTGTCTCTTTTGTGTCCTCTGATCTGGAGCAGCTCCTCCATCTGTCTTCGTGTCTCATGGCCACATGGGCATCCTGAAGCGCGCAGGGCCCTTGGTGCTGGGTTGTCTGCTCTTTCCTCATGATGACCCAGGCTGTGTGCTTTCATGGGGCAGGTCTTCACCAAGGTGATGGGCCCTTTTCTTGGGGCACAAGACATCAACAGGACTTGTGATATCTTACTCTGTGTCATTACCACAGTGTCCACCTTGATCATGGTCAGGGTGGAGGCTTCGAGTTTCTCCCTGCTGAGTTACTCTCTTCCCTTGTGCTTCGTCAGTCTTATGGGAGACACTTGGAGACTAAACACCCTGTTACCCCCCTGACTCACCTGCTAGTTCTCGGACCTGCCCAGGAGTTTCACCTGAATCAGTTAGGATTATGGTCGTTGCTAGCTGGCAGTCTTCTAATTCTGGCATTCCTCACACATTTTCTAGGTGGCCTTTTACAGTCAGGAATTTGTTCATTCAGAGTAAACTCATAAATGCGTCTTCCCTTCCACGGTTTCTAATGCTTTACTGGTGGGATTTATTTTGCCCAGTGGGAGCTCCTCCCAGCTGGCTCCTTTGTCCTTTGTCACATCGCATTGTTCTCTGAGCACTTGCTTCCTTTTGGCACAAAAAGCTGCTCCTGCCTCCCTCTGTCCCTTTCCTGCCTCAGCCTCATCGTCAGCCATTTGTTCAGGGAGCCCCAGTTCCTTGTAGTGGAGAATGGTGTTAGAAGCCAGGATCTGGGTGCTGGGGTGCTCAGTGCCTCTGGGGTGCTACTACATCCAGGCCCTCTAAGCAGACAGAGCTGGGAAGTAGGTGTAGGTGTGGATGTGCCCACTAGGTGCTGCAGCACACTGGCCTCTGCTTGCACATCTGCTGCTGTCTGTGCCAGAGCCCTGGCACTCCCACCTGCTTTGCCTTTACTGCCAGCTGTGGGTCTGTGTGTTCAATGGGCCACCTGCCCATGCAGCTGCCCTCCCTCCATACCCCTGCAGCTTTCCACCTGCCTCTTCAGCCTCCCGGTGGGCTGGGCCCCCCTCGCCCCCCGCCCCTGGTGCCTGCCCTCCTCACCTGGGGCCCATGTCATTCTGTTCCTCCTCGCCTCCCTCCACCTTACTCACATCTTTGACTTTTCTCTCCCATTTATGGGATTTCTTCACCACCTCATTCCATTAAATCTCCAAGTAGAATAAAGTAGTCCCTTGTAGTTAAAGACAACACCTTAATAAATAGTAATTAAGTTCAACCAAAACAAAAAAAAGTCTGTGAATTATTTGGGAATTCTAAGTAATAGAAAAATGATGAAATACAACAATATCCCTAAGATACATCTTCTGTTCTAAGAATTTTAACATCTTTAAAATGTGACTTCACAAGATACACATGAATTGAAGCTTCTTCTTATCTTACTATAATATGTGTGTAAAGCCTTTGAGGTTTTAAACTTCTAAGTTAAATTTAAACCATTTTCCAAGGAAATTATAAATTTCTCTTACAATTTTCCTCATACTCCTTTATACCCAACAGTACTCAGTTGTGTATATATATATATTTTTTTTGTGTGTGTGAGGAAGATCAGCCCTGAGCTAACATCCCTGCTAATCCTTCTCTTTTTGCTGAAGAAGACCGGCTCTGAGCTAACATCTATTGCCAATCCTCCTCCATTTTTTTTCCCCCCCAAAGCCCCAGTAAATTGTATGTCATAGTTGCACATCCTTCTAGTTGCTGTATGTGGAATGCAGCCTCAGCATGGCCGGAGAAGCGGTGCGTCAGTGCGCAGAACCCGGGCTGCCAGTAGCAGAGCACACGCACTTAACCGCTAAGCCACAGGGCCGGCCAGTTGTATGTATTTTTTCCCCACACACGTCAACTCTGTTCTGCCTTTTTACTTTGAGCATTTTCCATGCTTCTTGATCATCCTGTTGTTTTTACTGGTTGTATATTATTTATGTTTTTATTATGGTAAAATATACACGGCATACAATTAACCACCGTCACTGTTAAGTGGACAGTTCAGTGGCATTAAGTACAATCACATTGTTGTGCAGCCGTCTACACCATCTACCTCCAGGACTTGTTCATCTTGCAAAACTGAAACTCTATCCCAGTTAAACACTAACTCCCCCTCTCCACAATACCTCATTATTTATTTGTTACATTTCTTTTGACTGCACTTGACTTAAGGTGTCTGTGTCATTGCGCTGCTCTGGGGTGGTCCCCAGGAATGGGGTGATTGGCCTGGGGTGAACCCAGGAATATACCTCTCTTCTCACAGCCTTACGAGCCCCAAGTTTCTGTTTTTGTTTTGTTTTTATCATTTCTCATCATTTCAGCCAAGATTTGTATTCTTCTATAAATGGCTCTTAGAATTGTGTCATTTTCTGTTTCTTTTCATCACTAGCTGTGTCTAATATTTTGTAGAGTTTTTAAGAGCCCGTAAATTTTACCTATGTTAACCATCTGTTCTCTCTGCAAACAGCAATTTAAGGAATATTTTGAAGTGGAAAGGTTTGTAATTTTGGTTTGCTTTTGTTACATTTTAAAACAGACTTTTATTTTTTTATTTTATTTTATTTTTTAAAGATTTTATTTATTTATTCCCCCCCCCAAAGCCCCAGTAGATAGCTGTATGTATCATAGCTGCACATCCTTCTAGTTGCTGTATGTGGGACGCGGCCTCAGCATGGCCGGAGAAGCGGTGCGTTGGTGCGCGCCCGGGATCTGAACCTGGGCCGCCAGGAGCGGAGCGCGCGCACTTAACCGCTAAGCCACGGGGCCGGCCCTAAAACAGACTTTTAAATCCTTGTTTTAGACAAGGTTTCTCTTCCCTGCCTGCTTTGGAGAGGAGTGCTGCCCGTCCTAGGAGAGGCACGCCCGTTCTCATAGTTTTCTGTGTCTCCGGAATATCCTGAAGTACCTGCAGCTCTGGTGGTGTCTTTAGACTTCCAAGTTCCAGTGCTTTCTAAGTCGTCAGCCCTGGAGCTAGTGGCCCTCCTGTGTGGGGAGGGCACATGTGTGGAGTCTGGCATAGTAGAATTCCTTTTGTACTCCTTTCAGTCTCGTGTGAGTAAATAAATATCTGGGAAAATTATGCATTGGAAGCGTGGCTCATCAGAAAAGCCACTTGGAAGCAACCTCAAAAAGAGCAGTGTTTGTCACATCAGTGCGGGCCCTGAAAAGGCTGCCCTCTGCCTGCCCTCCGCCGGGGCCTTGCCGCCTGAATGTGATTCTCTTTTCACCCACAGGCGATGCATTTGGTGTACCGAGCTCTTGAGAAGGAGCCCGTGCCCTCCACCCTGCCCCCGTCCCTCATCCCCCCCTCCAAGAGAAAGAAGACAGTGTTCCCGGGTGCCGTGCCCGTCCTGCCCGCCAGCCCTCCGCCGAAAGACAGCCTCCGCTCCACGCCGTCCCACGGCAGTGTCAGCAGCCTGAACAGCACGGGAAGCTTGTCCCCCAAGCACGGTGTCAAGCAAACACAGGTACAGGCCCCTCTGTATGTGGCCACCTCTCAGAGCAGCTGTTTCCACGTGTAGAGTCCCAGCAGCATGTTTCTTGGGAGAAAGTAATTTGTGAGCCAAAAAAGGTAAAGTTTGTGATTAAATTAAAAATTTTATAGCAAGTATCTTAGTCTGTTCGAGCTGCTATAACAGAATACCATAGACTGGGTGGCTTATAAACAACAGACATTTATTTCTCACAGTTCTGGAGGCTGGAAGTCCAAGATCAAGGCACCAGCAGGTTTGGTGTCTGGGGAGAGCTCTCCTCCTGGGTCACAGATGGCATGTGCTCACTGTGTCCTCACAGGGTGGAAGGGGCAAGGAAGCTCTCTGGGGTCCCTTTTATAAGGGCACTAATCTCATTTATGAGGTCTCTGCCTTCATGACCTAATTATCTCCCAAAGGTCCCACCTCCTAATACTGTCACGTTGGGGGTTAGGGTTTCATCGTATGAATTTGGGGGGACACAAGTTTTCATTCTGTAGCAACAGGGATTCAGAATTAACTTTCTCATTCACTTGCCTGTAAATACCACCCCTCCTCAAACACACCCAGCACCTTCCTGCCTCTGGGCTCTCTCCTCATTTCTCTGCCTCTCCTGCCTCAGACAGTCCCTCTGCTGGGAGGTCGCATCCCTAGATGGCACTGTAGCACCTAATTTTATGAGGCCTCTGCTTGCAGGGCACCTCATCAGGGGAGCCTGGTATGACTGTACTCAACACCCAGCACACCGCGGGCCCTGCCTACCCAGCCGTTCTCCCTCTGCCCTGTATTATTCTAGATTTCCCATGCCTGGCCTGTTAGATGGTTAATTATGTATCGTCTCTCGCTGCCCCACCCTCCACCCCTCCTGTCAGCTTCATGAGAGCAGAGTTAGTTGTTGGTTATAATCTCAGGGTCTAGAACAATCTCTGGTACTTTGATGCTCATTAAATATGTGTTGAAAGATCAAGTGAGTGAGGGAGGCATCCATCTCATGTCAGGAAGACTCATGGGGGCTCCAACTCTCCACATGGCAGCATCTTATATATCGAAAAAGACGTTTCTTGTCTGGCAAATGCAGCATCGCAGTGGGTTCTTTATAAAAGGGCACCTCTGAGATTGTCAGAAACATGCAAGAACATGAACGTGAGTTACAACTGGAATCATGCTTCGCCATCTGCCTCGTGTGTGGTTTCAAAGGCAAAGCAATGAATTGTGACAAGAAGAAGGCCAGCCAGCACCACCACACACCGTCAGAATATGAATGATGAAAATGAGAAAGGCATGATCAGATGATGATTTCTCTTGCTCATTGATGTATTTGTAAAGTTAAGCATTCGACTTGGGGGGCTCATTTTTAAGGAGCTCGTAGAACACGGCATCAGACCCTAGAGTGAAAAAGAGCTCAGAGAGTGTCGAGGCAGCTTGGTCGCAGGTGCATAGGCAGCTCCCGTCACTGTCCTTGCCAGGTGGAGAGGCATGGCTGACGGGAGTTAACCTCTGGTTGGTGAGTTTTACGTGGCTGTGTGTAAAGAAACCCAGCGTCCAGATGGCCCAGCCCGGACATCTTCACCAGCTCACCAGCCATGCCCAGTCCCTCCTGGGGCTGCTGCAGTGACCTGAGACAGGCCCCTGTCTGCTGTGGGGAGACAGACGATAAGCACGTCGATAAACCAAGGAAGGTCAGATAGCCACGGGAAAGCGGAACAGGAGCAGGGCTTGGCCTGGAAGTGCTGGGGTGAGGAGGGGCCGTGCGTCTGCAGACAGTGCCCGCTAGAAGGCCTTCTGAGCTGAGACCTGAATGACAAGAAGCCATCAGAGGACTAGCCTGTGCCAAGACTCTCAAGTGGGAGCACTCGATGTGTTCTAAGGTGGGGGCAAGGGTGAGCCAGGGGATAGTGGGGTGGGGTCAGAGAGTGGGCCGAGGCCCGTCACTTAGACCTGCACGAGCTGTTGTTGTTCAATGCAACCCAGCACCTTGAATCTGCAAACTTCTTGCCAAGGGTTCTTATTAAGTACCACAGGTCAGGTTAGTGGTGGTCTGCTTTACCGACGAGGAAGCATGTGGGGCTGAAGTTGCTGACTGCTGAAGGTTGACTAGCCTCATAACCCCTCTCTGGTAATCTGCTGGCTCTCCCCAGATCCTGGAGCACTCCTGACTAGACCAACTTTACCCTGGTTGCTGTGGGAGTCAGAAGTGGGGAGGGAGGGAGTGGAGGGTGCGTCCCCTTCCCCAGGAGTAGGGGCAGCTGGTGGGATCACAGACCTGAGAACAGGCATTTCCGAGACCCACAGTCACCATGCTTTCCCCTCCCCCACTTTCGTCATCTCTAGGCCAGTGATGCCCGGCCTGGGGCCCCCGGTCCTGCCCTCCCGGCCAGCTGTGGGGTGGAGCCCCTTACCATCCTCGGTCTGTTCCCATTCACTCGGGTTCTATGGTTGCTGAGCCGGCCTTAAAGCCAGCCCTTTCCGGGAGACCCAGCTTTGAGGAGAAGGCTGTCCTGTATTGGATTTGTAGCCACGTAGGTGATGGGGTCTTGCTGCCAGCATAGCCTGAGACCTCAGAAATCAGGCAGCAAGTTCATTCTGTTCATGCAGTGAATGTTAGGACTCTTGTCCCAGAGTTGTGATTTTTTTGGACCAGTGGGATGCAAAAACCCATCTCCCTGTCAGCCTAGCCTGCCTGACCCACTGCTGCCACTTCCGTGGGATTCTTGGCATCTGAGGTGCAGTTTGCTCCGGTCACTTTTTTTTTTTTTAATTTTTATGTATTTTTTTTCCCCCCAAAGCCCCAGTAGATAGTTGTATGTCATAGCTACGCATCCTTCTAGTTGCTGTATGTGGGACGTGGCCTCAGCATGGCCGGAGAAGCGGTGTGTCGGTGCGCGCCCGGGATCCGAACCCAGGCCGCCAGCAGTGGAGCATGCGCACTTAACCGCTAAGCCACGGGGCCAGCCCCTGCTCTGGTCACTTGATGTAAAGACAGCCAGCCTTCTGCAATAAACAAAAAATTAAAAAAAAAAAAAAAAAAAAGACAGCCAGCCTCTTCTTCATTAGATTCATTTATGGGCGTCTCTATGTCTCCCTACAAAGTTCCCATAACACAACAAGTAAAACACAGGTCTTTCTCACTATCTGAACTCTTGCTGCCTGAGCCCCTGCTGTTTGAATTTGGTCCATAGATTTTGGTAAATTTTGTGATAAATTCCTTGCTGTACTAAATCATTCTACTCCCTATCTGAAACCCTGGACCTGGCAAGATCTGGGTAATGTGGTGTCCCTGCTTCCCAGACTCACTTTCTGGCTTCCTGGTGCTCCCCTCAGGATCCTGCTGGACTTGGATAATGAGGGAGACCTGTTCAGAAGAAGCAAATGAGGAAAAATGTCTCTAGAATAAGGAGCAGAGATGCCGTGGAACTTGGTTCAGTGAGAGTGCCAAAGGTCAGAGGTGACACATCCAGAATTAGCAGTCAAAGGGGCCTGCCCCCAAGTGCCCGAGGGGCCTCGATGCCTCTGAATTAGGAGGTGTGCAGGTCCTGGTGGGTGGACCCCTGAGGGCATCTGCCTTTCTTAAGTCAACTTGAGCAAGTGGTGTGAGGTCACATGAGCAGCAGGTGCCGGAGTCGCACTGTGCTGGGATCTCAGCTCAGTCTGCCAGAGCAGCACTTTTGTGGGTGGTGGGCCCCTCATGAGTGGTGGGCGTGCTCATCAGAGGCCTGGGCTCCCCATCAGCATGAGGGGGCCCTGAGCGCCTGCCCATCCTGCAGATGCCGTTTTCACATCAGTCTCATTCACTGCCTGTCAGTGTCGTGTGTGCGCAGAGACCTCACAGTGGGGCTGCTGTGTCACAGAGTGGGGCCAGGACAAAGAAAGGTGGAGTACAGAATCCTGGAACTGTGGGCATCGAGAACACTGCTGGCAGCTGCAGAGAAGTGTTTGCAGGCAGAAGACGAAAGACCAGGAAGGCAGGCTGGCTGGCACGGGAGCCGGGCTGGTTCTCAGGACACAGTCCTTCCAAAATGGGCGGTCAGGAGGGTCTTGTCTGGTCCACTTGAAGCCCCTCCTGGAAGGAGATCACTGGCTTCCCTTCATGCCCCAGGTGGTGGGGATGGAAGGGTTTTGGTGGACGGACCTGCTGGGTCTTTATCTCCCTCCTAGCACAAGGAGATTGGGGTGCTGTGATGGGGTGGAGGGAGGCACAGACTGGCCGCTGTGCGAGATTGACTGACTTGGCATTAACCTCTCTCAGCCTCAGTTTCCCCACTTACAGAGTGGGGATCCTGTCTGCCCTTTCAGCTCATGGAGTTGTGAGGAGGGTTTTCTGCTAAAATGTGCCTGAAAGCACTTTATTTATTTTTTTTTTTTTTAAAGATTTTATTTATTTACTTTTCCCCCCAAAGCCCCAGTAGATAGTTGTGTGCCATAGCTGCACATCCTTCTAGTTGCTGTATGTGGGACGCGGCCTCAGCATGGCCGGAGAAGCAGCGCGTCGGTGCGCGCCCGGGATCCGAACCCGGATCGCCAGCAGTGGAGCGCGCGCACCCAACCACCAAGCCACGGGGCCGGCCCTGAAAGCACTTTAATAGTGTGTATTTGTAAGTGACGAAAAGCTTGAGGAGTAACTTTTAAAAAACTCTTTCAGCCAATAGTGAACTGGGTGGTGCCGGTGGCCGACAAGATGCGATTTGAGGAGATATTCCTGAAGACCGACCTGGACCTGGACGGCTATGTGAGTGGCCAGGAGGTGAAGGAGATCTTCATGCACTCGGGCCTCACCCAGAACCTTCTAGCACACATATGGTAAGGACAGATGGATGGACATCTGCTCCTCAGTATTTGGGCCCTCGCTGTGTGGAAGTAAGGGCTGTGGGTGGCTCAGAGGAGCCCTGTGGAAGTGAGACTTGTCCTGTGTGATGGACTGGAGGGGGTGGTGGTCAGGGACCTGTGAGTCAGGGTGTGTCCCCAGCCCTGTACAGGCCTCCGTGTCTGCCTGTTACTTTATTCTCACCAGGCTAAGGGGGCGCTGAGAGAGGCACGAGTGGAAAGGCCCATACCCTGTGTTCTGTGCATGTCAGTTCACTCTCCTCCTACAAAGGGTCGCCTGTTTCGTCCCTCTAGAGAGCTCTCCGGCGATATACTTGAATGGCCAGGACCAGTTCTTGCTGGTGGTTATACTGGTTCTAGTGGGAGAACCAGCCTTCCCCATAGCCAGTTGGGGTGCAGGCGCTCGGCCCTGCCCCATCTGGGGGAGTGTGCAGAAAGGGCCCTGAAGGCTCCAGCAGGGCTGCTCCAGGCTGTCAGGGCTGTGGCTGCCTCCTCTAGGGGCCCTGCCCTACGCAGGTCAGCGACTTGGCTCCCGGGAGAGGGCGAGCTGGGGGCGACATTCTGGTCTGCACCTCAGGGCCCAGTGGAGGAGCCAGCCTCACCCCTACTTTCCTCCAGGGCTGGGCACAGCAATCTTCACAGCGCTGGGGTGGCTCCTGTTGTAACTGGCCAGTGGTGAAGTCACTTCCTAGCTTTCTCTCCAGAGCCGTGGCCTTAGAGGGCTTCACTTGGGGTTATGAGGAGAGAATTTCCACATAATTCTGAAGAGGTGGATCCCTCCTAGTGGAGCTGTGACATTTAGCACATTACTGAGTGACTTGGGGAAATGACCATCCTTAGCAATAATGCATAGAATTCCACGTTGTGAGATGAGGCCACCACCAGAGAAATTGGGCCGTTCCTTCTGAAGGAGCTCATGACTCCCAGAGCCAGTCACCAGAACGGCTGGGGAGGCCTGGAGCAGCCCCCTCACATCCAGTGCCCCCTTTTAGAAACTGATAAAACACAGTGCCACCTTTATGACGCTGAAATGGATGTGCATGGAATTCAAAAGTGTCGACACACTGTCCCGATCATAACGTAAAGGGACAATGCAGCGAAAGAAATTTATAACATACACCTCAACCTGTAAGTGGTGTAATGACATGTAGATGAGACAGTGAAGTCACGAACGTGCTTGGATTGAAGGAAGGAAATCAGAGGCATTGCCTGCAGGGAGCAGATGGAAAGGACCAACCAGCGAGCTCTAGGTTAACCTCTTGGGAAGTAAAAGTCTCGATGGTCTGCCGGTGGCCAGGGGAGGGGACGTGACTGAGGTGGAGAGAGCATGCCAAGGGGGAGCTCAGGGAGACAACGAGCGCCTGGTGCCTTGCTCAGCAGCGTGGTGGCCACCACGGACGGACACGGACAGAGACAGGGCTCCCGGCATGTGGCCTCAGCGCCCACGCTCCTTCTGAGATGGGGAGCAGCCCAGAGCGGCTGTGGGGTGAGCGTATGGCAGGACCGGCCCCCAAAGGCAGACTGAGGAGAAATGGTCACAGTGTGAAGTTGTCACAGCCTGCCCTCGAGCCATGACAAGAACGAGGCAATTCTTCACCCGGCCTTTATCATCTACGCTCAGCGCATCTCCCTGCCCCTCGGCCCTGTTCCCCGCAGTGTTGGGCCTGAGTCTGCTGAAGCGCTCCGCCCTCCTCTGCTCTGCATTAGGAAGTGGCCTCGCTGCTTCCGCATTGACCGTGCGCAGCGGGACGCGAGGGTGCGTGTGGAGTGGACAGAGTGAGCGAAGGGCAGGCGTGTTTCGCAGATGTGGAGGCCTCATTCTTACTGCGTGAGGCATGCTCCCTTGCCTGTCTGCCAGGACGCCAGAAGGCCACGTGGGCAGGGACACTTGAGCATCGAGGGATTGTACAGTGTAGCACAGTCATGCCTCGCTTTCTAGGTCCCGACCCCTCATGATGACAGCCCAAAATGCTGCTATTATCAGCCCCATGGAAAACCAGTGGCTTGCGCCGTTCAGATAACTGGGGGCGGCAGGGTCCCAGCGTGCACACTCAGCCCCAGCCTCCATTTCCGTAGGAATGGCTGTTCTGTACTGGACCGTCGCAGTCCACCGCGTGCACACCGTAAAGAGCCAGTTGCGTTTCTGCTTGCTGCCAGTGAGGTCTTCCCAAGGGACAGGCTACTTGGCCTGCCGGGTGGGGCTTGGCGGTTCTCCAGCTGGGCCAGGAGCCTCCTCCTGCCCCGACAGCCCCTCCTTGACCAGCCTTTGGGCAGGATGCTTGGTGGGGGTGCCGGGACTGCTTCCCAGGAGTGGGATGTTCAGCAGAAAAGGAGTTGCCGCTGTGCCCTGTTGTTTTTATTGTCATTGTCTTCATCATCCATTTTTTAAAAGCCTGGGTTCCGTGACTTGTACTACACGTGGCGCAGGCTGAATTGAATGCCTGTGATGTGTAATTAGCATCCCCACGTTTCTCTCAGGGCCCTGGCCGATACGAGGCAAACGGGGAAGTTAAGCAAAGACCAATTCGCGTTAGCTATGTATTTCATTCAGCAGAAGGTCAGTAAAGGCATCGACCCTCCTCAAGTCCTCTCACCGGACATGGTCCCGCCCTCAGAGAGAGGCACCCCCATCCCGGTGAGTAGCGCTGGCGGCACCCCTGTCGTGTTTGCGTCGCTTCCTGCAGCTTGCCACCAGGTGGTGCTGGTGGCTCATGTGAGCAGGGAGCGCCTGGGTGGCCCAGACTTCACCCGGGGCCCCGGGGGTGTGACTGGGCCGCCCAGATAGTTCCCAAGCTGGGGGCTGGAAAGAAATGATTTTACCCCCATTCTGAGACCTACTAGTTCTTACTGTGCAGTGAGGTCAGCTTGCTCATTAATAATTCTGTGTCTGAACTTGGTTCTAGGACAGTTCAAGTTCTCTTGGATCAGGGGAGTTTACTGGTGTGAAGGAACTTGATGACATCAGTCAAGAGATTGCCCAGTTACAGAGGTATGTTAAAGCGGCTCCTACCCCTCAGATTCCGAACCTCACACAAACCCTATCCCAGGTTGTTACTGGAAATATCAGGGCCTTATGAAACATGTGGAAAGTTGACCATGACAAGTTTGTTCAGCAGAAAGGAGGGACACAAGATTCCCAAGTTCCTGAATTGACTTAATGAGCTCGAGTAAGGATGTCCTTGGTTGGAGCCACTGTGGGCCGAAGGGTCTCCGGCAAAGTGTTGCTAGGCAGCCTCAGCCCACTCCTCAACCAGGAAGGCCTTGTTATCCCTCGACACATAAAGCGACCAAGTCTCAGATGGCAAGTTAGTGGCTTAGGATCAACAGCTAAACTGTGCGAGGGGCCTCATGTCAAGGTCTCCGGCTCCACTCCCTGCGCCCCTGCCTCGGTTTCCCCACCTGTAAACGAGGGCTTTGGATGCAGTGTCTGTACTCTTGGAGTCCAGCAGAAAGCAATACATCCGCTTCCTGTACGCCCCTGTGATCCTCTTCAGAGCAGTGTCCTCTTTCCAGTTAGTTCTGGGGGAGGGCACACTCCTGCTTGGATGGAGATGGGGTCAGGCACCGAGCAGAAGAGCTTAAAGGTGCTTTGCCCTCCATGGGAAAGGGAGTGCTTGCTTGATTGAAAATGAAAATGGCAAAAGCGGGCTGGATCCTGCTCACAGCTGGAGGCCCCTTGGGCGTGGTTTGTGCCCCTAGCAGAGCAGAGCCCTGAGAAGCAAAGGCAGGTCAGACATTGAGTGGGACCCTTTAGGTGGGTGGCTGTTCACAAAGCCTCAGCCTCAGCTGCCTGCTGAAGCCAGACTCCCTGCTTTGTGCTCAGCCCAGAGGATGGCTCCTGTTCTGTTGCCAGCTCACAAGGGCCATATTTCCAAAGCAGAGATCAGCATGTGCAGCCTAGCAAGACTAAGAGGGTCTGTGAGGACCGAGGGCCAGTGTCCTAGAGCCCAGGCAGGCCCGTTAATCAGGACTGCAGATGAAGGGGGAGGGTGCACTATAATGCAAGGGTCGGGGTCTTGGAAGGGATGGTGGTGTCTGAATCAGGTCAGAGCTGGCCTCCGGAGCTGGGAGTGTTTCCCAGTGAAGGCAAAGAAGCAGGTGTGTGCACAACTGCGGAGGCCAGGCCTGGAGCGGCCCCCAGCAGGCTGTGGATTGTGGGGGCATGGGGAAACGTGCCTCTCCCCTTGCTACTAGGTCCAGTCACAACGGTGGGTTTGAAGGGAATGTTATATTGTTAGGTAGTTCTTAGGCTTGTGGAAATGAATATTCAGATGCTCACAGCTAGTTTGTGTCTGGCTGAATGTCTCAAAGACCTATTGTCATGCAAGTGCAGAGTTCCCCGTAGGGGAGGCAGAGTTTGTTGGCGCCTTGAGGTTCCTGCCACTGAGACAGTACCTTTAGGCACAAGAGGAGTGTTCCAGCTGCTGTAACAAACTGTCACAGCCTGGGGGGCTCACACAACCGACATTTACTTCTCAGAGCCCCGGAGGCTAGAAGTCCAGATCGAGGCATGGGGAGATCTGCTGTCTGCTGGGGCCCACTTCTGGTTCACAGATGGTGTCTACTCGCTGTGTCCTCACATGGCAGAAGGGGCCAGGAGCTCTCTGGGGTCCCTTTTATAAGGGCACTAATCCCATTAATGGGACCCTCATGACCTAATCACCTCCCAAGGGCCCCACTTCTGATACCATTACATTGGAGGTTAGGGTTTCAGCGTATGAAAAGTGGAGGGACACAAATGTTCCGGAAGGAGGAGAGCAAGGCTGGTTGCTGCCTGGGGAGCTGTGTGCGGCTGAGGAGACAGGCAGGGCCCCCCCCGCGACCCCCCCCCCAGCACCTGGTATGCATAACGCCAGCCACAGCGTCCTTGGAGGGGACAGCTGCCAGAGCTGGCAGAGAGACCCTCACTGCCACTTCTTGCTGCTAGGCCTCTGGACTCCCCACCCTGCTTTGCATTCAAACTTCTCCATGTGGCTCTCCCAGCTGGGCTTTGCCTTTCTCTTGACTAGAACGTTTTCCCACCAGGTTTCCATTCACAGACTGCTTCCTCAGAGAACCCTCCGGCTGTGCTCTGTGAGACAGCACCCACCCCCTTTCCTTATCTCGTTGGGTTTCCCTTTGTGTCACTCACGTTACATTCATCTGTGCGTTGACTTGTCACCTGTCTCCCCCACTGGCCTATGAGCACCGTGAAGGCAGGTGCCTCTCGTGGTGTGTGCCTGCTGCTTCAGAGCCGGGGACCCTTGCCATTCGGTGGGCCAGTGCATAGAGGATTGGGAGACTGTCTTAGTTTTCTCTTGCCGTGTCACAAATTGCCACAAATGTAGTGGCTTAAAACACTGCAGATTATTAGCGCACAGCTCTGTAGACCAGAAGTCTAGGCGGGCTCCACTGGGCTCCCTGCTCAGGGTCTTACAGGGCCAAGGTCAAGGTGTCAACCCAGCCAGGGGGAGAATTGGAATCCGAGCCCAGTTCCTTGCAGCTCTGGGTCCGGGGTCTCCTTTCCATGCTGGGTGTGGCAGGGGCTCGTTCTGCTTGGAGAGGCCACCTGTGCTCCCCCTCTCATGGCCCCCCCGTCTTCAGTGTCAGCGGGGGTGCATCGAGTCCTCTCACCCTGAGCATCGCTCTGGCTTCCTCTTTGAAAACGTTCTGCTTTAAAGGGCTGCGTGGCCATGCTGGGAGCAATGCCTCCTCGTCCCCACAGTTTCCACTCACACTTGGAGGGGAGGGGATTACATAGGGCAAAGGTCACTGGGGGTCGTTCCTAGACTTCCGTCCCCACCAAGAAGGGTCAGAGGAGTCAGCTGAGGTGGGGCTTTGTGGAATGGATGAATTGGGCTTGAGAAGTCAGGGTGGAGAGTATGCACTGTGGTGACGGTTGATTTATTCATTTTTATCTGTGTTTCGTGAAATCAAGTTATTCACTCTTATCTGTGTTTCGTGAAATCTTTTTTAAACCCTCAGGGAGAAATACTCACTGGAACAAGACATTAGAGAAAAGGAAGAGGCCATCAGACAGAAAACCAACGAGGTACAGGTAAGCACGCTGCACGTTTGGTCAGGTGGACCTTGTGTCAACTACAGTGTAGGGAGCCCCGTCAGTGGTGTGGACGGGGCAAGGGGAGGTGGCTCTGCGCTCGTTGGAAACTCGAGCTCGTGGGGGCTTCCAAGTGAAGTTTTTAAGTTTCTTATAACCATAGCCAGGGGCTTCTTTCTTTTTGATTAAGATATATAATTCACATAACGTAAAATTCACTATTTTAAAGCATACCATTTAGTGGTTTTTAGCCTATTCATTATGTTGCTTAATCGTCACCTCTGTCTAGTTCCAGAGCATTCCCAACACCCCGAAAGGAAACCCTCATCCCCTGAGCAGTGACTCACCATCCCCCTCCCCAGCCCGTGGCCACACTGATCTGCTTCTGTCTCTCTGGATTTGCCTGTTCTGGACGTTTCACATAGATGGAGTCTTACAGCATGATGCCTTTGTGTCTGGCTTCTCTCACTCAGCATGAGGTTTTGAGTTTCAGGCAGTGGCCTCTAACCTATTCTTAGGACAGTCCTGCTTGGAGTGTCTCCTTGTGGGTGGTGGTGACAGCAGAAACTGTGGTGGTCAGACTGCCTGGCTCAAACCCAGCGCTCCTTAGCAGCTGTGTGACCCTGGGCAAGTTTCTTTCACATCTCTGGGCCTCCTGTGACGTTGGTAATGAGTGTCTGCTTCCCTGGGTTGTGGGGCTGGAGCACAGGTTCTGGCATGTGCTCAGTGCTCACTTGGCGGCCACGCCTGTTCTCAGGTCGTCTGAGCAGAGGGGAGGCTGTGCCGGGAGCAAAGCAGTCAGCGCCTGGGAGCCAAGCCCTTGAAGAGACATAGGTTCCTGTGATGTCTCGGGTCTGAATGGATAGAGAAGGCGCTGCCACCATGAGGGGACTCCAGTTGGCCCTGATAGTGAGACTGATCTGGGACTGGTGGTCTCTGCTTGGGGGCTTTGCGTGCTCCCAAGCTTGGGCCGGGGGGAAGGAGGAGCACAGCCAAACAGTCAGGACTCCAGTGCCCCCTGGGTGACCTGTATGGCTGGGCCAGCTTCCATCTCCCCAGCTGGAGGCGCAGCAAGGATCAGTGCTTGGGCTACTCTGCCAGAGCCAAGAGCAGCGTCTGGCTGCAGTGCGTGCTGCGTGAGTGGCTGGTTCTTTTGGGGCTACTTCTTGGGCCGTGGACCCAAGCCAGGCCAGGGGAAGCTGTGCCCAACTCAGTCGGGCTCATGGGCTGCTGGGCAGCCCTCCTCGCTCCGCTGCACCTCCCTACAAGGGGCTAGAGGACTCGGTGAGACACAGAGTAGATGGCACGTGATGTCTGTCCGCCAGCCTGTGGGAAATGGCCTCTGTCATAGTTGTGGACTGTAGGTGAGGTGGGGTGGGTGTGCCCACCCCTCTTCGGGACTGACATCCGTTCATGCTGTGCAGTGTCCACACTCTTCTTTCCTGGTGTCTCACTCTCTGTGCATGTTGGCAGGTGAGGATTGGTCCTTAGATGGTCTCCTGGAATGTTCTGGATTGGAAGGCAGAGACTGGCCTGCCTCTAGTATTAAGTGCATTTTGCTTGAGTGAGCTGCTTCAGTTATAAGACCACCTTGCAGGTGAAGCGACTATATTTTTCTGAATCCTGTCATTTTATTCTCACCTCAGCTCTCTGATTTCCACTCGTGTCCTAGAACTGACCCCTCAGACACAGAGCCCTTATCACCCACAGCACTCATCCTCCATCTTTTCAGTCCTTTGGTGAGGCGGAGCCAGCCTCATCTTCCCTCGTGCCTCGGCCTTGGCCCGGCCATATGGATGCCTGGGCGGTTCTCCCTTCCCATTGTGTCTGGGTCATCCTGAACGAGCTTCGATTTGCATTCTGGTCCCCGAGGATCTGGGTACTGTGATGTCCTTTAACTACTAGGGAAACCAGTCACCAGGTCTCTGGCGCCTGCTCCTGGGTGATTCCTTTTTTTTTTTTTAATTTTATTAATTTAATTTTTTTTGTCTTCTTCTTCTTCTTCTTTTTTTTTTTTTGGTGAGGAAGATTGGCTCAGAGCTAACATCTGTTGCCAATCTTCCTCTTTTTGCTTGAGGAAGATTCGCCCTGAGCTAACATCTATCCCAGTCCTCCTCTATTTTGTATGTAGGATGTCGCCTCAGCATGGCTTGATGAGCGGTGCATAGGTACGAGCCTGGGATCCGAACTCACGAGCCCTGGGCCGCCGCAGCGGAGCATGCCAAACCTAACCACTACACCACTGGGCCAGCCCCGCCGGGTGATTCTGAGCAAGCCGTTGGGTCTTTGCAGAGACTTGCTCTGACATCTGGGGGTGCTGTCCTATCGTCTGTGGCAGGCTTGGTGAGGCCACTTGGAGCCCTGGCTGGTGGGCTCTGACAGCACACACCTACAGCCTTTGAGATGGTGGGGTCTGTGTGCACCCCGACAGCCCTACAGAGCTGGGAGGGGACCCAGCACCAGCCAGGCCAGCCCCCATTCCTTGGGGGCCTCATTTGTCAGCAGGCCAGGACAGGGCTCTGCTGTAGGGTTGGTGGCAGCTCCTTGGTCAGAGACAGAGACTGTGTTTTTAAAGTTCCTCTATGAAAACCAGATGTGACTTTGGTTTTTTCCCAGGTGAGTCAGGCCAGGAGCTCACACGCCATCCCCGCTAGCAGAGGCTGCAGTCAGGGCCCAGCATGGAGTAGGAGGCCTTGGTCCTCACGTCAGTTGGCGTTGAGTTTTAAGCAGCGGAAGCCTCAGCCCCCCCAGTCCTCTTGTTCACATGGTCCCCATTCTCCATCCCGGCCTGGGGATCTCTCGTCTCTCTGTCACTACCATCCTGATCAGGGCCTTCGACCGCTGTGTCTGATTGTTTGTTTTGTGTTGTTTTTGTAACAACAGCTTTATTGAGATATAATTCACAATCCATACGATTCATCCATTTAAAGTGTATAATCCAGTGGTTTTTAGTATGTGCACAGAGTTGTACAACCATCACCATGATCAATTATAGAACATTCCCATCACCCCAAAAAGAAACCCCATCCCCATCAGCAGTCACTCCCCATTCCCGCTACCCAGCCCCTGGCAATCACTAATCTGCTTTTTGTCTCTGTGGATTTGCCCGTTCTGGACGTTTGGTATAAATGGAATCACACACTGTGTGGCCTTTTGTGTCTGGCTTATTTCACTCAGTGTGAGGTTTTCAAGGTTCATCCATGTTGTAGCGTGTGTCAGGGCTTCAGTCCTTTTTATGGCTGAATAATACTTCATTGTCTGGCTGGACCACGTTTTATTCATCTGTTCCTCAGTGGACGGATATTTGGGTTTTTCCAATTTTTGGCTGTTGTGAATAATGCCACTATGAACATTAATGTGCAAGTTTTTATGTGGACAGATGATTTCACTTCTCTTGAGAGTAAAATTGCTGGGTCATATGATAACTCTCCGTTTAACCTTTTGAGAAACTGCCAGACTGTTTTCCAAAGTGGCTTCCCCATTTTACATTCCCACCAGCAATGCATGAGGGTTCCAGTTTCTCCACATCCTCAGCAGCACTTGTTATTTCCCATTTTTTATTATAGTCTGGCTAGTGAGTGTGGAGTGGTATCTCATTGCCCATCATGCTTTCCCTAATGATGTTGAACATCTTTTTATGTGCTTATTGGCCATTTGTGTAACTTCTTTGGAGAAAAATCAATTCAGATTCTTTGCCCATTTTTAATTGGGTTGTCATTTTATAGCTGAGTTGTAAGAGTTCCTTATATTTTCTAGATACAAGTCCCTTGTCAGATAATATGATTTGCAAATATTGTGTCCCATCTGTGGGTTGTCTTTTCACTTTCTTGATGGTGTCCTTTTTTTTTTTTTTTTTGTGAGGAAGATCAGCCCTAAACTAACATCCATGCTAATCCTCCTCTTGTTGCTGAGGAAGACCAGCTCTGAGCTAACATCTATTGCCAGTCCTCCTCCTTTTTTTTTTCCCCAAAAGCCCCAGTAGATAGCCGCATGTCACAAGTACACATCCTTCCAGTCACTGTATGTGGGATGCGCCCTCAGCATGGCTGGAGAAGCAGTGCGTCGGTGTGCGCCCGGGACCAGAACCCAGGCCTCTAGTAGCGGAGCGTGCACACTCAACCACTAAGCCACGGGGCTGGCCCGATGGTGTCCTTTGAAGCACCCATTGCCAAATCTAAGGTCAGAGGGATTTACCCCACATTTTTTTTTTAAAGAGTTTTATAGTTTTAGCTCTTACATTCAGGTCTGTGATCTGTTTTGAGTTAATTTTTGCATATGGTGTGAGGTAGGGGTCCAGCTTCACTCTTGAGTTAATTTTTGCATATGCTGTGAGGTAGGGGTTCAGCTTCACTCTTTTGCGTGTGGAGATCCAGTTGTCCCAGCACTGTCTGTTGAAGAGACTGTTCTGTCCCCATTGAATGGTCTTGGCTGCATTGTAGAAAATCAGTCGGCCCTGGATGGGTGGGTTTCTGTCTGGACTCTCAGTTCCATCCACTGATCCTTATGGCTCTCCCTGTGCCAGCACCACACTGCCTTGATGACTAGCTTTGTAGTGAGTTTTGAAATCAAAAAGTGTGAGTCTTCCAATTTTGCTCTTCTTTTTTCAAGATTGTTTTGTCTATTCTGGATCCCTTACATTTCCTTATGAATTTTAGCATCAGCTTGTCAGTTTTTGCACAGAAGCCGGCTGGGATTCCGGTGGGGATTGCAATGAGTAGGTTGTCTGGGTTATTTCTGTCTTCTCTTTGCTCAGGTACCTCCCCCACTCTGACCCCAGCATGTTCCTAACCACGAGCTGGTGGGTCTTTGTCCTTGTGGGGCTCTTTGATGCTCTCTTCTCTGTTACAGGATGAGGCCCAGATTCCTTGATGTCCCAGGCTGTTGGCCACCTGGTGTCCCAGGCTACCCCACTAGGCCTGACCCTCCTCCCTCCTTCATGTCCCCCTCCCCCATCACTTGTCCTTCCCTCAGATGAGTCAAACCGATGTCCTGGACTCTCCACCACCAACCCCCTTCCAAACAGTCTGTGTTATCATCCCCAACTTGTCAGACTCAAGACCCACTTGTTGAGTTAAAGGCAGAAGACACTGGGGAGCAGAGAACCCAGCTCCCCAAAATAACTCAGAGTTGTATTTTAGCTGTTGAGAGAGGAGAAAGCCATGACATTTTTGTCCTTGTAGCAGAGAGAGAGAGACCCTGTGCCTGCTTTGGGTTTACTCCTGAAATGGCAACAGCCACCCTAGCCCAGGCCAGCCCTGGGGATCGACCTCACCACCCCCGTCCTCCCTTACTCCCAAGGGTCCCCTGAAATGCACCCCTTCCTTTGAGTCCCGCGGCCACCACTTCACCCAGGCCCAGGTCCCCTCCCTGCCGTCCCTGTTCCCTCTGTCAGCCCTCCTCTGCCATGCCCATCCGTTATTTCAGGTTTAGTTACGAGACGTTTGGTAAGACATTTGGTTGACAGTCAAAGACAAGAAGCCTCCCACCCTCCCCTTCGGCCCCTGAGAACGGCAGTTGATTTGGTCCTGCAAGGCTTTCCAGAAAGGTCATGTGCGTGTTTAAGGAGAGACGTCTACACATATGCTCCCCTTCCTGTTTGTACAGTGTACACAGCCAGTCACATTGTAACTCGGGAGCACGAGAGGCGGCGTCCCTTGAGGTGGGCTGTACCACACATTCTCGGCCAGCCCCTCTGGGTAGAGATTTGCATTGTTTGCAGATGTTGCCTCACAGATGCTGCGTGTGTGACATGCCCACACACCTCTAGGATACTTTTCCTACAATCTGGTTGGGGCCAGGTTGCCTGCACTGGCCCTCTTGATAGAGACTGCCTGCTTGGCAGGAGCTTAGCAATGGAGAATCGTCATGTCTGACTCCCATGCTGGAGTGTCCTGCAGGGCTTCCCGCTGCAGAAGCGAGGCAGTCTCTTTGGCGTGGCCTCTGCTGCCCTTTGCTCTAGCTGGAGCGGGCCACCCCCTTCCCCTCGTCAGGGCGCCTGTGGCCCCTTCCACCAGGCCTCCGTCCTCACTCGTTTCCTGACTGCCACCTGCTTGTCCTTCAGGTCCTTCCTAAGTGGTACTTCTGTGGGGGTCTTCTCTGCCCGTGTAGCGTCACTCTCTCTCCCCGTGCCCCCCGTGACTCCAGCTGACAGCACCCCTGCTGTCTCTTTGTGCCTTTTGTCCCAGTTCATTTGTGTTTGGGTGTCCCTCTCTCCTCCCCATCCCCAACCACACATCACTGAGGAGCCCTTCTTGCTGGGAAGCCAGCCCCTCTCCTGGCCCCTGGCTTCTCTTAGGCCATCAGTATATATTTGCTGAGGGACTAGTGAGAGATTGAGCCAGGGCTGCCAAGTTGAGATGCATGCGTGTGTGAAGCAGGTGTGTGCAGGATGCCGGATCAGGGGGTGGTTTTGTAGGACATCCTGGGGGCTCCAGCCCAGGCTCTGACCATGTTATCTCAGATGTGCCCTGTCTCAGCAGTCTCAAGTAAATTTATGCAACCCTTCCCTAGGAATTACAAAATGATTTAGACCGGGAAACAAGCAGTTTGCAAGAGCTAGAAGCTCAGAAGCAGGATGCCCAAGATCGCCTGGATGAAATGGACCAGCAGAAGGCCAAGCTCCGGGACATGCTAAGTGACGTCAGGCAGAAGTGCCAGGACGAGACTCAGATGGTGAGTCCCATCCCTGCCCAGCATTGGTAAGGGGCTTCCTGCAGGCTTCTCTGAGCTCATGGTGACCTTGAAACACAAGGCTGAGATGTCCTGCCAGTTTAATCAAGTAGTTGAACGTATTGTTTGGAAAAGTGTCTAAGCATTTGTGGCCTGACCTCAGTTTCACCCACTGAGTTGTGTAAGTGAATGGCCTCGGTCCCCACGAACATGTGTGTATGGATGCCCCACCCTGGCCTGTTCCCCACAGCACGGGGGTGCTAACGTGCCTCCTCCCCTCCTCTGGTGTCTTCACTGCTCATTATAGGGAGGCTGCAGCCTCAGCAGATTGTAAAGCCCTTACGTCCCCCTCTGAGGCCTTGTATGGGGACGTTCAGCCCCTGGAGGACAGACAGATTACCTGTGCTTATCCCAGGTCGCATTCCTCCTTATCCCAAAGTGACCTTCTTGTTGGTCACATGGGGGTGAGCATGTCTGCCTTGTCATTTCTGTCTTTGTTTTGGGCATGGAGCTAGGGCCCTGTAAGGAAGCCAGGCGTCTGGGCTTTGGGCTGGTGTCCACCTCCCTGGGTTAGCTTGTTCCAAGGATGTAAACCACAATTCTTCATCAGAGTCATATTTCATCCCATTTCAGATTTCATCATTGAAGACCCAGATCCAGTCTCAGGAATCCGACCTTAAGTCCCAGGAAGACGACCTGAACCGGGCCAAATCTGAGCTGAACCGGCTGCAGCAGGAAGAGACCCAGCTGGAGCAGAGCATTCAGGCTGGGAAAGTGCAGCTGGAAACTATCATCAAGTCCCTGAAATCCACCCAAGACGAAATCAACCAGGTATCTGTCTCCCCCCCTGGGTGGGCCCCACCGTGGCTGGCTGCTGCCCAGGGTCTTCTGGAGTCTTTTGCCAAGCGGAGTAGCTGTTGTGAGCTGTCACGTTGGTGTGTGTTACCAGTGGGCCCAAGTGTCTGTGCCGTGGCCGCTCGTTCCTTTGCTCGCACCCACCTCATTTACGTTAGGTTCTCTTCTTAGAAGCTGTCGTACCGGCCTGGAGCTTAGGTGCTGAGAGCCCCCAGTGTGGGTTCTAGCATCATGCTGAGTGGCCCCACAGTGGTTTGCTTTGCCTCTTTCCACTTCCCTGCCTGAATGCACGTCATTTTTGGGGAGTGGGCGGGGGCTGGGCGAGGGCATTAACTGCTCACTTGGGGAGAGCCTTGGGTTTGGTAAGTGCCCTCACCAGCCTGGTCCTCACACAAGTAAGAGGGACAGAGTTAGAGAGAGGTCCCAGCACCTCTGTCCCCACACAATTTGAAGGCCTGCGCATCTTGGAGGCCCCGCCCTGTAATGTGCAATGCCCCGTGCAGGGCCCTCTTCCAGTTCATCAGGCTGCCTGGGCTCCCCCCTCGTCCTGCCTGATGTGAAGGCCTTGAGGCCTGCAGCCACTGCTTGCCAGCAGAGGGAGGGCTCATTTCCTGCTCCCTGTTATGTAATGACTCAAGGCCTCCTCACTGGCCCTCCCTGTCCCATCTACAGAGTGGGGTCATGTTTGCCCTGGGTGATATTGAAATGGCTGGTCGTGCTGCCTTTCTTGACTGATTTGTTCTCTTTGCTGTTTTTGCCAGTTTACAGACAAAAGTTGATCACAGACACATAGCAGGGATTTTGTACTCTATATTGTGCTTTGTTGTTAATTAATATCTGTAGGATTATCTTAAATCTTTCCCTTCCAGCCCTTAGAGTTTGTAAAATGTACAAAAGAGCCAAGACGTAGTGTATGTTAGTAATAATAATATGGATAATAATAGTAATAGCTGCTCCTTATTAATGCCCAACCCTGCCAACACTGCAGAAGGTGTTTTGCTCATAATTTCTAATGCTTCATTTTGAAGACAAGGAAACCAGAGGATTAGCTCACCAGCCTGAGGTCACAGAGCGTGTACGAGACAGTTAAGATGCATGCCTGGGTCTGTCTGACTTCACAGATTGTCTTCCTTTTCCTGGCCTCACATTCCTTCTCCAGGAACAAGGAGAAGCAGATGGGGTAATAAAAACTCGATAGAAGAAAATGGCTGTCGAATATGACTTTGAACAAGATTGTGAATCTGGATTTTGTCTGATTTCAGTTTATTCAGAATCAACAAATGTTTGTTTGAATGTGTACCTCTCTCAGGGGCTGGGGATACAAAGAAGCCTCACGGGGCAGTGAGAAGGGCCCTGTCTTGATTTACAAGCTGTCTCACTTCTTGTAAACATGGCAACAGGGATCGTCTGCTCTGTAGATGGGTAATTTAGTTAGCCACGTGAATCGCTCAGAGTTGGATGTTAGGAGAAAAAACGTCTCGCCTGACACATTTTCCTCAAACCCCACTTGATGCTGGTGATGTCTTTGTTGGACAGGCAAGAAGCAGACTTTCCCAGCTGCACGAAAGCTACCAGGATGCCCACAGGAGCCTGGAGCAGGGCAACGAGGCGCTCGATGGGGCCCGTGGTGCCAGCCTGACCAGCCTAGCCGAGCTGAGCGAGAGCGCCTCCCTGACAGAGAGGGGCGGTTTTGGAGCCATGGTAAAGGTTGAATAAATGTATTCCAGTCCTGGGATTAGGTCCACGTTGGGATCAGAGAATGCTCTCCTGCTGAAGCTGGCCCTCCCAGCCTGATTCCATCCACGTACAGGGTGTTTCTTCTTTTGCTACTGTTTTGCGTGCCCCCACCAGCCCTGCACCCCAGCGTCCACGGCCGCGCTCCATCCTGGCATCCAGGACAAAGCCATGGATAGGCCTGAATCCTTTGTAACACCAGTTTTTAAAGATCTCTTTGTCCCTCGACCAACCACCGAAATTTGGAGGGCTTCCCGAACTTAACCAAAATTGGATCAGTCTGTCACACATTGTGAAACCCCACATCCTACTAATTGGGGGAGGACGTGGGAATGTGTGCGTGTGTCTGTGTTTCTACAAGGAGCACCTTGAAAATGAAACATATTGATAAAGATCAAGAAAAATTAGTTGGTCCCCTTCTGGGGCCTTGCTATTTCATCTATGAATTGGCCTCTCTCCTGAAATTTTGGTTACATTTAAAACCTCAGCACTTTGGTTCAAACCTCAGGTGACCCTGGGCACCCTGATCAAGGCCTGAGGGGCTATTGGCCTTTTGGGTTTCTATGAGCTCTCAAGCCAGTGACATCCAGTAGGTGTTACTTTTTCCTCAGATTGTCACATCCCCCTGTTCCCACCAGAGTCTGCCGTTGTAACCCTGAGCCCCCCTTGTGCCATGTCCAGTTTAGTCTGGCTGATGAGAGCGTCTCTGTGGTGATGAAGTTGCTGATGGGACGCAGTTGGGCTCAATGGTTCCATTGTGTTCTGCCCCCAAACAGCTCAGCATGCCCTGCTGCCTCTCTCTTTCAGGGCTCCTCCTCTGAGCCCTGCTTCTGCTCCCGGCCCTGTGGGCTTCATGGATTCCTTCTCGTCCCTGTAATAATACAGCCTCTCTCTCTGTCAGTGTGAGACTTGGCTCTTTATGTTCATTTCTTGACAGTTTTCTTTTCTCGGTAGCCAAGTACTCAGGCCCAAGAATTTACAGGGAGGCTTACGCCTCTTTCCCTGCATCACTTAGAAGATGCTGTTGGTGTTCTCATCTGTCTGCCATCTCTGGCTGTTGCTGCCTCCTTCTGCCATTCAGAGATTCCCCATTCTTGTGGAATTGTAAACTGGTGAATTCCATATTGCTCTTGGGCCCATTGTCAGCTTTGTTGTCTACATTTAGACTGTGAACATTCATTCTTCATGAACTACGTGGGGCAGGATTTCCCACCTGGTTGTCTAGCCCCCTCGGGGTGTGCGTTTCAGTTTCACAGCCCTGCTCTGCTCCCACGCAGCTTTGGTAGCTTTGCGTGGCTTTCAGCTTGCCTCGTTCCATCTTAGTTCATGGAACAGCTCACTCGTACACCCTCTTGCAGGTTTTGATGAGGTTGGTTCCTTGGATAAAAGTTAGCAGTGAAGTGGTGGTTTGCAAGTGGCCAGTGATACCCCCGCACGCACAGATTTTTTTTAACTTCCTTTACTTTTACTCACCTTTTAAGCGGGGCAAAGTTTACATGGTAGTCAATTCATCTTGGAATGGTGACGTCAGATGTGTTACATAGAAACTCTCAACCGGTGTCTCAAAGAAAAACTACATTTATCTTGTTGTACAAATACAGTTTCTAAAGCATTTTTTCGTTTGTTTCTATTTCTTAATAAACATTTTGAAGAGGGCTTTTTGTTTACTCCTGAACGTTTTAAAACTGCCCCAGAGGAAAGAGCTCTTAGTTCTCTTCGAGGGGGGTACAAAGTGAGGGGTTTAATCCCCTGAGAATAGTGTAACCAAAGAGGCACATGTAGAACTTTCTAAATCTGGGCAATCCTACTAAAGTTACTAAGTTTAGTGGTAAGCTTACACCATGTTACTTTGTCCAAGAGACACAGGATTCTTAAAGCCGTATTTATTTCTTGTCTCTCATCGGATGATGAGAATATTGGCCTCTTGCCCTTGAAGACAGCACCCAACCAACCTGTCTAGTAGAGAGAAGGTAATCAATCGTCCCAGACTTAAGCCCTGCTGAGAACTCATCATGAAAGATTGGGTCGTCTGTCGCATCCAGCCCCAGTGGCACACGGGAGCCAGTTTTATTGACTCTCCAGAGCTGATTATTAAATAGGAATTTTGTAAGCTGGTTGGTCAACCTTTGGTAACTGGAAATCAGCCACAGTGGGAGTATTTACACCATGGGAATTGGCAGAAGCTACCAATCAGGGCTATTTTTTCAGAGAGCTGGGTCACCAGCTCACCACTGGGAAGGAATGTTGCAGAAACCCCTTTGGTGCCCTTTCAGGGTTGTCATGTCCAGTTCATAAGATGTGCAGACTTAACTGGGTCCTGAACTCGTTGTTCAAGGTGTTTTACCTCTGCGAGTTAGTGCGTCATTCGTCCTCATGCTTGTCTGCCGCACTTGCCTCTCCCAGGTTGGCAGATGGCTCCGCTCTCATTGGTAGGTGGTCAGTGGTTGGTGGAGTTTATGGCATCTCTGTACCAGGGGTAAATCTCGTTGTCTGCTGTGAATCTGTGAAATGGAATCCAAACCACCAGTGGTTACCCTAACCACATGACTCCTGCTGGAATCTTCTCAAGTTTCTCCTTTGAAGGGGAGAAAGCGACTGCTGCCTTAGGCAAACAATTGTTCCTGAGGGAGTGATTGCAGACCCGACTTTCAGTGCAGGGGGCTTGTGGCCGGAACCCCTAGAATAGCAGTCTGTTCTCTGCCAGTGTCCACTGTTACTTGGCAGTCTTCCACGCAACAATTGAAAACATTATAAAACAAGAAACAACCAACTTGTAAATCAATGCCAATTAAAAACTAAATAGAAGCTTCCATTCTGAGGCCAAGCTGTCATTCTTAAGTCACTACTTTATCTGGGTCGTCAGCCCTCTCTGTGCTTCTTCTGGAGCAGATACATTCCTTCCCCCATGGTGCAGTGCAGAGGTTCATTTTCCACCCTGGCCTCCGGGCTTCCTTAGATGAGGACTTCCCCGTCATATTTATCTGTCTGACAACCCCATCAGATGCTTGTTGGGTGTGTGCATCTTGTGGTCATCAGCACCACGACGTCCTTCCGGAACCGCACACTGCCGCCAGACGGAGTGCTTGCGAACATCTGTGTGTACTTACTTGCCTGAGAACCTGGCTTGATTTCCCCACCTTGGGAAGCCCTGTGGTTGGAGGCTGCAGATAATCTTTCCCAGGTAAGAAGAATCATTCCGCTGTATTCATCAGAGGGCAGAGGTGTTGCTTCATCCTTCCGAAGCCCGTGGCTTCTTGTTAGCCCAACCCAGCACCTCTGAGAACCGTCCTGCTCCCCGAAGTCAACCAGCCCAGGCTGGGAGGAGCCTTGTCAGGAATCTTCCTTGGGTGCTCTGACGTCATTGCCCTGTAACCATTGTCTCTATTTCTGTGGAAGCCCAGCTCTTCAGTTATGTGGTCGGTTGGAATAATGGATGAGTTTGCAGGCCACGGATGCTGACATTTACCAGATTCAGTGAGGATGTTGTGCTTTTTAATATCACAGTGAAACCTTCATGTTTTCACTGATGGTGTGTCTTTTTTAACCAAAATATGCTCAGTGTTTCTAACCAAACACATTGTTCCCACATACTTTGTGGGGCCTCCCCATTTAGGCACATTTTCCACTATAAAAAGGTGCTCTTCAAAAGCAAATATTTTTTTCTCCTGATTTAAATACGCTTGTTTGTTTCTAGAAATAAGCACATTTTTAAAAAATGCAAAACGTTGTATATGCTCTAGTAGTTCTAACTGCATAAGCACTCACTTCCTCCCAGGATGTAAATAGCCAGCATGTTTCTTGGTGTGGAAACGGCATTTTTTGAAATGCCCGCATAGGTACATGCTCTGAGAAAAAGATGGTTGAGGGAGATCACACCTTTGAATGAGGCCGGTGCTGCAGTTGTTGGGTGGCTCATTGCATTTTCTTTCTGACATTGCCAAAAATAGGACTTTTTTCTGACTTAGTGATTTTTTAAAAAAAATCTTATTCTGGTAAAATACACATACAATTTACCATCTACACCATTTTTAACTGTACACTTCAGTGGTATTGAGTACATTCATATTGTTGTGCAGCCATCCCCACCATCCATCTCCAGAACTTTTTCATCATCCCAAACTGAAACTCTGTCCCCATTAAACACTAACTCCCCATCCCCTTCCCCCAGTCACTGGCACCCACCTTTCTACTTTCTGTCTCTATGAATCTGACTCCTCTAGGGACCTCATAATAAGTGGAATCACACAGTATTTGTCCTTTGGTGTGTGACTTACTTCACTTAGTATAATGACCTCAAGGTTCATCCATGTTGTAGCATGTGTCAGAATTTCCTTCCTTTTTAAAATTGAATAACATTCCATTGTGTGTATACACCACGTTTTGTTAATCAATTCATCGGTTAATGGACGTTTGAGTTGCTTCCACTCAATGACTTCAAACTTTGATTTTAGGAGAGTGTTGAACTTAGAGAAAAATTGCAAGGATAATTCAGAGAGTTGCCATATACCTCACACCCAGTTTCCCCTATTATTAATATCTTGTATGGTACATTTTTCACAACTAGTGAGCCAGTGTCGACACATTATCATTAACTAAAGTCCATATTCCTTCAGTGATTTTTTTTTTTCTTTTAATCATTCTCTTTAGGGTCTCACCACTTAAAGGGGAAATATGCGAGTTGGGTATCAATTTTGTACTTTGCTTTAAATCTGAAATAATAAAATCCCTGTCCTGTCTCTTCACAAAATTATAGGACGATCCTTTCAAAAATAAAGCCTTGTTATTTAGCAACAACACGCAAGAATTGCATCCGGATCCTTTCCAGACAGAAGACCCCTTCAAATCCGACCCATTTAAAGGAGCTGATCCCTTCAAAGGTATCTCACTCGGCGCCTACTTTCTCATGGAAAGGCCTTTTATTTTCTGTCGTTTGGGGTTGTCCGATGAGTAGACTGGTGAGGAGATACCACCCTCTGAACTGGAGGAGGAGAGGGATTCCTTGAGCCTGGTGGGCCTCTTGAGTTTTCCCCTCACCTGGTTAACTAAAGAGCTGAGGTGTTGAGGCCTGGTGAGAGGAGCTCCAAGCTCACAGCAAGACGCCCACGGCCAAGGGCACTGTGGACGGCCCTTAGCCTCTGCACGCTTCAGTTCCCATCCACCAGTGGGTGGTAAATTCTTCCTTGCTCACCTCGAGAGGCTGATCAGATGATCAGATGGAGGCATGATTGTGAAACCACCTAGAAAATGGCAGATCCCCACGTAAATCTAAGGTCTTAACATGGTGAGTTTACCTAGAGCCACGCACAAGTCTAGGGTAACTAAGAAGAATTCCTGGAAACAAGATTTCGTAAGTTTCTCCTTTTTTCTCAGAGCAAAACGGTATTTCCAGGAAGGCTATCTGTACATTTCTGAGAAAAATGCCCAGGCAGGGAGAGGGCAACGGGAGTGCCTTTCCAGTTTCAGATTTCGGGTTGGAGCACCTTAGGGCCGAGAGGTGACTCAGGCAGCTCCTGAGACTCCGACGTACTGTTCTCATCATTGCTCTGGGGCCAGCCGTGTGGTTGAGGACTGCGGCAGCCTAAGGGTCCTGTGTCCTCGTAGCCGAGCGAGGTGAGAGGGAGATGAGTTAATGAGAGTATAGCATGGCGTAGAAAGAGAAGAGTGAATTCTGGCTCATTCTACCTTTCCCTGACTCTGGCCCGTGTTGAGCAGCCAACAATGTCATGTCATCTTAAAGGTCCTAGCCATGACAGACCATCTCAGCCAGTGGCTGCCCTGCTCTCCCATTTTGATATGCCAAGGTCATTTCTACCATAGAACTAAACATTCTTTTCTCTCTCCTCTAATCTAGGTGATCCATTCCAGAATGACCCCTTTGCAGAACAGCAGACAGCTTCAATAGGTAAAAAAAAAGCCTTCATTAAAAGAACTATTTCGTGGACTAGTCCTCACAATATTTCCATTTGTAGTTCAAGTTGAGGGAAATGGAAAAACTCCCTTCCAGCCTCCTTGGCCAGGTCTCCTACAACATGGCAGCAGGGGAGGTTAGTTGCTGAAGGGACCTGGTAATGACCTTGTCCCTCCCTTTCACAATCTGGAGCCCCTTCTTGCCAATCTCGCAGCACGATGAGGAACAGAACTAGAAAAGAGGCTCCTGATAGCCAGGCGAGTGTTCAGACACACCCATGGCAGCTGGGTCACCTGTGCCCGCTGTGTCACCTGTGGTGGCGTCGGGGGTCCCTGTAGCACCTGCACACAGCAGGGTCTCTGTCAGCACACACCAGGAGTGGAGGCGGGGTAAACTGAGAAGCACGGCCGTCTGTGTTGCACGGAAGCCTGGTGTCTTGTTCCCTCCTGGTGACAGTGGCTCTCCCAGTCCTCCAGTCACCATGCCCGCACCCCACATTCGAGGGGAGTGAGTACACTGTAGGCATCACGTTAGCATCATGCTGCCTATTTATCTATTAATTTTTTTACTGAGGTGAAATTCGTATAACACAAAATTCACCTTTTTAAAGTAAACGATTCAGTGGCATTTAGCACATCCACAATGTTGTGCAACCATCACCTCTATCTAATTCCAGAACATTTCCGTCTCCCCAAAAGGAGACCCCATCCCCATGAGCAGTCACTCCCCACCCCCTCCTCCAGCCCCTGGCACCCACTAATCTGCTTTCTTTCTCTATGGATTTACCCACGTTGCTTATTTTTAAAATTGGCTTTATTGAGAGGTATAATTTATACACAACAAAATTCACCAATGATAAGTGTATAATTAGATGAGTTTTGAGAAGGTGTACAGTCATGTGAGATGGAGAATATTTCCATCATCCCGAAAGGTTTCTTTGTGCCCCCAAATCCCCACCCCGGTCCCTAGGCCCCTGGCAACCACTGACCTGCTTTCTGTCGCGATGGTTTTTAGTTTTTCTAGAATTTCATATAAATGGCATCAGTCAGTTAGGTGTTTTTTTTTAATGTTTGGGTTTTTTCACTAAGCATAATGTTGTTTATTCAGGGGGCTTTTTTTCTTTTCTTTTTTTGCTTTCCAAAACATCATCTAGATCCATTTGGAGGGGATCCTTTCAAAGAAAGTGACCCATTCCGTGGCTCTGCCCCCGACGACTTCTTTAAGAAACAGACAAAGAACGACCCGTTTACCTCAGACCCATTCACGAAAAATGCTTCCTTACCCTCAAAGGTGAGTGACCCCGGGAAGGCGTAGGTGCTGCCTATATGAAGGGAGCCTTTCCTTGTCCTCCCCTGTGGGCTGAGTCAGGGGCTCTATCATTTGAACTATGTTCACTGAGCCTGACAAATGCAGGCACTGTGTGCCATGTGAGTCCGGGCAGTTCCCCAGGAGCAGGGTCATGGGCCAGGTCACATTACTGGATGGCAGGTGACCATTCGTGCTGGTCCCTGCGAGGCTCATTCTGTGAAGTAGGGTGTCACATCCAGCAGTCCAGGGAGCCCAACTCAGGCGGGCTGTGCCCTGAACCGCTCATTCCTCTGTCTCTTTCTGTGCCCATTACTTCAGCTCGGGCCCACCTGCTGGGTTCTCTGCTCTGTCGCCTGCCCCCACTGCTGCTCTGTCTCCCAACAAAGACAAAACAAAACAAAGGACCACACGCTCCTGCAGACCGCCCCGGCCTCCACACGACTGCCCCGCCATCTTCCTAGTGCACAGTGCTGAGGGTGACGTTGGAGTCGAGTGCCGAGGTGCGTCCCGGTCATAGCAGGAGGAAGTCCATATCCGCAAACTGGCAGCACTTATTGTGCAAGGCCCATGTGTGCCCTCCAGCCCCCCCAACATTGTAGTAAACCATGTGCTTTGCACAGTGTTAGGCCCAACGGACTGGGATAAATTGGTGTCATCTAGGATTTAAAAAGCAAAAAAGTGGGGCCGGCCCGGTGGCATAGCGGTTAAGTGCGTGTGCTCTGCTTCAGTGGCCCGAGGTTTGCAGATTCGGATCCCGGGCATGCCCCGACGAGCTGCTTGTCAAGCCATGCTGTGGTAGCATCCCATATAAAGTAGGGAAAGAAGGGCATGGATGTTAACCCAGGGCAAATTTTCCTCAGCAGAAAGAGGAGGATTGGCAACGGATGTTAGCTCACAGCTAATCTTCCTCACGCAAAAATAAAGTAAAAAAAAAAAAAAGCAAAAAAGAGATTTTGTGATTGAACAGAGAATTTTTATGTGTAAGTGAGGGTGCTTTATATCCCCTCAGGTTCTAGGCTGCATCTCTGTCCCCACCTTACACATTCCCTGGTTTTTCTCTTCTCCATGGACCTCTTGGTCTGCAACACTAGACCCAGAGCTCCTTGAAGGCAAGGATTAATTTGTAACATTCCTGTCTATAAGACCTGTCATGGGATTCCACTTTCATTCTTGGTATTGGCAATCTGTGTTCTCAGTCTTGATCAGTTTTGTTATCTTTTCCACGAACCAACTTTTGGCTCTGATAATTTTCTCTTCTATTTGTTTTCTATTTCACTGGTTTCTGCTATTATTTCCTTCCTCTTACTTATTTTTGGTTAGTACTTTGCTCTTCTATTTCTAACATCTTAAGATCCAACCTTATTAGGTCATTGATTTTAGAGTATCTTTTCTTTTTATTTTATTTTATTTATTTATTTTTTTTTCCCCCAAAGCACCAGTAGATAGTTGTACGTCATAGTTGCACATCCTTCTAGTTGCTGTATGTGGGACGCGGCCTCAGCGTGGCCGGAGAAGTGGTGCGTCAGTGCGTGCCTGGGATCCGAACCCGGGCCGCCAGCAGCGGAGTGCCCGCACTTAACCGCTAAGCCACGGGGCCGGCCCTAGAGTATCTTTTCTAATATAAATGTTTAAAGCTACACATCTCCCTCTAAGCAGTGCCTTGGCTGCATTCCACACATTTTGATATGTTGTATCTTCATTGTCATTCAGTTTGAGATATTTTGCAGTTTCCCCAGTGATTTATCTGTTGAACCATGGATTCTTTAAGGTGTATTGTTTTGTTTCCAGATATTTGTTTTTTTACCTAGGTATCTTATAATATAGATTTCTAAAAAAAAATCTGTTGTTACTCAAGAACATATTTTGTATGTTTTCAAACCTTTTAAATCTGTTGAGACTCACTTTATGGTCTCTGGTGCACGTACTGTGTGCATTGAGGAGAGTGTCTGTCTGCAGTTCTTGGTGTCGTGTTCTGTCCATGCCCATTAGGTCAGGGTGCTGGATGGTACTGTTCAGCTTCTCTTCGTCTTTACTGTGTGTGTGTTTGTTTTTAGCTCTAGCAGTTGCTGCGAGAGGGATGTTAAAATCTTCTCCTATGATTGTGGAATCATCTCTATCCCCCCTTAATTCTGTCAAGTTGTGCTTCATGTATTTTGAAGCTCTGTCAGGTGCCTACATATTTATGATTGTTGTATCATCCTGATGCAGTGACCTTTTTATCATTATAAAAGTTTCCTGTTTTCCTCTGGTGTTATTCTTTGTCTTGAAATCTGTTTTGTCACATATTAAAATAGCCAATTCATCCTCCTTATGCTTACTCTTTGCATGATATCTTTTTTCATCCATGTATTTTCAGCCTGTCGGGTTTATATATGAAGGTTTGTTGGTATTGAGCATTTAGAGTTTGCTTTTCCATCTAGTCTGGAAGTCTCTGCCTTCTAAGCGCCATGTCTAGTCTATTAACATTTAATGCAATTATTGATATGGTTGGATTTAAGTCTACTATTTTATTATTTGCTTGCTTTTTATGCCTTGTGTTTTGTTGTTCTCTTCCCCTTTTTCTGCCTTCTTTTGGGTTATTTGAATGTTTTCTAGAATTCCATTTTCTTGTATCTGTTGGCTTCTTTTAACTATACCTCTTTGTTATATTTTAGAGGTTGCTTTAGGGATTACCATTTACACTCTTAATGTTTCATAGGCTACTTGGAGCTAATATTAAACCACTTAATGTAAAATGTAGAAAACCTGCAACCACATAGGTCCGTTTATCCGCCTCCCCCCAACCAGTAGTATTTTACGTTATAGCTGTCCTATGAATGTGATGCATCTAAATATATTATAAACTCCAAGATCAGTCTTATTATTTTTGCTTCTTGCCCTTGTATGTATTTTAAAGAAATTAAGAGGAAAAAAATACTTTTATTTTTACCCACTTACTTACCATTTCTAATGCTCTTTATTCCTTTCTCAAGATCTGATTTCCCCTTCCTTATCATTTTCCTTCAGCCTGAAGAACTTCCTTTAGCACTTCTTGTAATGCAGGTCTATTTTGCCTCATTCTTGAAGGATATTTGTGCCCAACCTAGTACTCTTTTTGACTTTCCGCACTTGTAGGATATTGTTCCACTGCCTTCTGGCCTCAATTGTCCTTGACAAGAAGTCATCAGTCTTTCAAATAGTTGTTCCCCTATATGTAATGTGCTATTTTCTCTGGCTGCTTTCAAGAGCCTCTCTTCATCTTAGATTTTCAATAATTTGACTGTGAAATGTCTGGATGTGGTTTTCTTTGTGTTTATGCTGGTTAGGGGTTGCTGAGCTTCTTAACTCTGTGAATTATGTCTTTCACCAAATTTGGTAAGTTTTCAACTATTATTTCAGGTATTTTCTTTTTCTACCATATTCTCTCTCTCCTCTCTTTCTGAGATTCCAGTTACACATATGTTAAACCTTTTGCTGTTGTCCCCACAGGTCCCTGATGGTCTGTTTTCTTTTCATTCTCTTTTCTTATTTTTTTCAGATTGAGTAATTTCTACTGATCTGTCTTCAAGTTCACTTACTTGTCTCTCTGTCGTCTGTTATTTAGCTAACCTAGTGAATTTTTTTCTAGATGTGCTTTCAGTTTTAGAATTTCCATGTTTCTTTTGTATAATTTCTTTGTCTCTGCTAAGATCTCCTATCTTCTCATTCATTTTAAGTGTACTTTCCTTTATCTCATTTAGCGCAGTTATTGCTGCTTTAACGTTATCCTCCTCTGAGAATTCCAGCATCTAGGTTGTCTTGAAATTGGCTCCATTGATTGTCTTTTCCCTTGAGAATTGGCCACATTTTTCTGGTTCTCTGTATATTGAATAATTTAGAAATGTATCCTATACATTGTGAGTGCTCCGTTGTGGAGACTGGATTCTGTTACATTCCTCCAAAGAGTGTGGATGGTTTTGTTTCAGCAGGCAGTTAACTTGTGAGACTCAGACTGCAAACCCTCTCTCTCACACCGGTGGTTTTATACTTGTGGCTTTATCTGTAGGCTGCTCTCAGTCTGCCCACCCATGCACAGTGCAGGAGTCAGCCCTTGACTTGGGAAGAGCTTATCACGGGAGCTGTGAATCCCATTCTCTGCTTCTCCTTTCTGGATCCCCTGTCCCTTTCCCATGGCTGTGATTGTCCCGGGCCTCCATCCTCTCGGCAGAAAGATACAAGTTTTCTGTTGGAGTCTTAGCCACCTGATACCCTCAGACTGTAGCTGTTAAAATGGAAAACTCAACCTTGTACTGTTTTCTTCTGCCAAGTTTCAAGTCTCCTCCAAAGTATTCCTGCTTTCTGAGCCTTCAGGCGGTTGCTTTTTAATTTTATTTTTGCATTTTGTCCAGAGTTTATAGGTGTTATCTGCAGGAGGGGTTGGTCTGTTGGGATTTTACTCTGCTGGAGTTTAGTTTAAATCATTTTATCCTCCCCACAGCCCAACACCAGATATGGTATACATAGATATCAAGATAGTTTGTGGTTGAATGAATGGATGGTGGAACAAAGGAACTGCTTTTTACTCTTTCCTCTTTCCTTTCACTCAGCTTGACCCCTTTGAATCCAGTGATCCTTTTTCATCCTCCAGCGTCTCTTCAAGAGGATCAGGTGAGACTGATGGCTTATTTCCCTTCTGACTCTTCCTTGGTCAGAGGAAGGAGCCCACCCAGTTAATGCTTTCATTTCCAAAACTGGTGTGTCTTCAGTGTTTATGTCATTAGTCATTGGCACCCAGATCCTCACCTGAGGCAGTTTGGCCAAAGCCAGTGCCCCCTGGCTGCTCATCTTCCCGAGCAAGAGCTATCATGTTTCCAGAAAGGAAGCTTGGCAGTAGGAATTAATTCAGTAATAACACCAATGTTATTTGTGATTCTTTACCCATTCCTCTGTATAAATCTTTGGTTTGTACCTTTGGATTTTTTTCCTAAAAGAATCCCAAGTTTGAGCGAGGGTACTGGCTTGTGCATTAGGGGAGAGGAGCATTTGCGGACTCCCCCTTGCATTTGGAGACAGGCCTTACTTGGTCCTGCTGCCTTGCCTAGCCACTCCTGCTTGTTGGTTACGGAGGTGGATATCACAGGTGGGCATGTGGGTTACTTCAGGAAAAAACCAAAGGAGAAAGCTCAGCAAAAATCTCTACCTGCTGACGACCTCCCCACATCAATTGTGTGGGTAGTGGGTCCCCTCCCTCACACTCTCCCCTCCTGACTCATTGGGGCAGCAGGCTGTGCCTCCACAGGGCACCTGTTGCTCCTTTGCTGACCATGAGCAGTGCTGGCTTGAAGCACAGACGTGGGGCAGAGTTCCTCTGGTTCTCCCCAAGCTGGCTGTCATGGCAAGAAACCATCTGGTTGAGCTGCACTAACCACGAGCCAGAGCAGGTGGGGGCAGAAGGCGTTGTTGAGGGCCTGCACACAGGTGCAGGATCCAACAAACAAATGCAACCTCCCCAGATCTCCTGCTTTGGGGGCCGTTGAGTACCAAGAGGTGACACTTCCACTGGGCACCAGGAGGTGCGTGGAAGCCCCGTAACGGCCTCTGTTGGTGCTGCTTGCAGGTCCCTTTGGAACCCTAGACCCCTTCGGAACTGGGTCCTTCAACAGTGCTGAGGGCTTTGCTGACTTCAGCCAGATGTCCAAGGTAAAGTCCCTCCCATGGAACCCCTGTGCCTCTGCCAGTCCTTGTTCCTCTTGTCATGGTCTTGATGGGGCTGCCAGGCGTAATTGTTAACACCACGTATATATTTCCTTCGTACCTGTCAAACTGAAATGCATCCTCACAAGAGATCGTGAGTCAGCAGACAGGGTCTAGAAAGCACCCGTGCCTGTGATCAGGCCCGTTTCCCCCCCCTCCTCTGAGCAAAACTGCCAGAGCCCTGAATCCCTCGCAGAAGCACAAGCGCCACGCTCTCCTTCCTGCTGCCACTGGTGTCTGCTGGCCAACAGATCTCAGGTGATGAGGTCATCACTGTGCTGCACAAACTCAGGAAGGTGTTAGGCACAGAGGGCCCGGGAGGGTTGCGGGAGGCAGGCCTGGTGTGCAGCCAGCTGAGGCAGGAACTGTGGGCCGCAGGCTGGCAGGAGGGAGGCATCTGGAGAAAGTGGGCCGAGCGTCTGGAGCCGCCTGTGAACAGAACCCTCTAAGGGTGTGGAAAGTGAGGGCAGCCTCAGCAAGTAAACATGCAGGTGAAGAGTGAGCTCTCCACGACGGACAACATTCATGCTGTTGTTGAGCTGGACGCCGTATCCGTGTGGCCGCAGTTATGTTAACTGACTGTGGAATAGCCCCGGATGGTGTTCGAGCGCTGTCGAGAGGGGATGGGGGGCCGGTGTGGTGAGAGAGCTAAATCTTCAGTGTAGCAAGGGGTCAGTCAGCAGATCACGTCCAAAATGGACAGATGAAGAAATAACAGTGGAAGTCCATAATTACTGAGGTAAATTCCAGAAGCTGCAGCTAAGAAATTGAAAATGTTGGCGTGTGGGAAGAGCAGCGGGCTGAGAGTCTGCTGTTCTTCAGTGTAACTTTTAGTGTCTCCTGGTTTTAACTCTAGGCAGGTGTTTCTTTGATAAGAATTAGGAAAGCAGTGCCAGATGTGCCTCGCCTCAGCCTCAAGTCCCCGTCCCCTGCACCTGCGTGCGCTCCACTCCTTCTCTGCAGCCCGCCAGGCAGGTGAAGGTGGGATCCCTCACAGATAGAGAGCCTCAGAGCCACAGGGCCCTGTTTTCTTCATTCATTCCGCCCATCTTGACCAGCCGCTTGCTCCAGCCCAGGTACCATCAGCCACAAGCAGAAAACAGTCCCTGTCCCCGATCTTGCCTCTTAGTTAGGGAAGGCTCACAGCCAGATGGTGGTGAGGGGGCTGGGGAGGGAGCCCCCGGATGTGGGAGCCAAGCACCTGCAGCGAGAAGTCCCGTGCCTCCTGCACCCTGGTCTCCCCCGCCAAGCCCGCTCCTCGGGGCGCTCTGCCTGCACGCTCCATGTTCACTCGGCCCAAGGAGCACACGATTGTCTGGACGCTGAGCGCTTGTGGTTAGCAGTGTGTGACTGTGGCCACAGCTTCTGAGAAACATTTGAGATTCTGTTTAGGTTTTCAAATAAGTGTGCGAACGTAAACTGTTGAGGTAGCACATCCAGCTCTGGCCAGACGCAGAGCATCTGTTTGCCTGTCGGCCACTGCAGGAGGGAGCCCAGAGGGCCTGGTGGTGCAGCCTCTCCTTCCAGTGCCTGGAGGAGAACGAGCCTCCATCCCTTGTCCAGAAACACTGTGACCCTGACTTGGGGCACTGGGGTTGACAGAAGGCACCAGAGGATGTGAGATTGCCCTCACGCTTGTCTGTTGCTTAGTGGCTGTTACACACATTTGTGTGCCTTGTGTGGAGCTGTGTGTCCTCTGCTTCTGTCCCTGCTTAGTGAGCGGAAACAATCTTCTGAAATCAGAAAACTTCTGCCACACGGTGGCAGCAATCTCCAGGGAAGCGGTTTGCCTTGTGTTCTCAAGCTGTCACCAGTGGGCTCTCTCCCTGTGGGAGGTTGGCCCTGCAGGCAGAGGGAGAGCTAGCAGTGGCCTGAGTGAGGACAAGGACGAGGGCACGAGTGAGGCCTCTTGTCTCAAGAAGTGTCCGAGTGGAGGCTGCGTGGGCTTGCAGAGGTCCCTGCAGGGTGGCCAGCCTGGAGGCGCCTGCACAGCAGGAAGGCCCCCCCCACACCAGGCAGTCTCTGTTCCCCATAGCTGCAGAGACTTCCCGGAACCTGGGACCCCTTCTTTCTGCCTGTTCTAACCTAACAGTGCGTTTTCCCTCTTCCAATTCCAATTTCCCTCTCCTTGTCCCCGTGTCCCCAGTCAGGCCACACACACACATGCACTGTGACTTCTGAGCCAGTGCCCCTTCCTGTTCGAGGCGCTGGGCGGGCTAGAGCTGGACGGGGCCAGGGCAGTTCGTCCCCAGCACTCCGTTGTTCTGCGTCCACAGTCCTGTCAGCTCCCGCTCTTGTGTGCCTCCCCAGCTGAACCCCGAGCCCTGACCTTGTCACTCTGTTTTTCCTTTTTGGTTCCCTTTCTGTCTTTCAAGAACAACATCGTGAGTATAAATAAAATGCTGAAGGAAATGAAAGTAAAGTGGCAAGAAGGTTTTTTTTTTTGGCTTCTTGGTTTTTTTTGTTTTTTTGTTTTTCACATCTCCAGCTTTTCCCCTTCTGAGCGGGGTGGTGAGGCGAGGCCTGTGGGCGCCCCTTCTCAACTTCACCCTAAATTCAAGTGTCGCCCTCTGTGGGGCAGTGCTAAGGGAAGGCGACAGCCAGCGCTCTGATCCCAGGAGGTTCCTCTGGGAGGCTGTTTGGCTCTCGTTCTTAGCTGAGGTCCCTCCACACTCACAGAGATTGTTCCAGACTGTGTCGATCCTAAACTCCATTTCCTCGCTTTGAAAGCACATCCCCCAAAATAGATCTCAGGGAGTGTCTGAGAATAAAAACAAGACTCGAACTTGATTATGTCGCCCCTCCCCCTGGAAAAAAGCCATCTCTGAAATACTTGGTGGTTGTCAGTCATTTGAAGCCCTGCATTCGTATTTGGGGCTGTTTTTGAAGAGTTAAGAGTCGTTTGCTTTAAACCAGTTCTTCAAACCGTGAACCCCAAGTGTGTTTCTCTTAGAGCTGCTTTTCACAGTAGCTTTTCTGTCTGCTCTTTTTTTTTTTCTGAGCACGCTTCACTCTGGGCCAGCCCAGAGAGCCCCGACTGGCTTTACTGAAACTCTTCTAAAAATAGTGACTTTCCCTGAAGACCCAGCCCAAGAAGGAACGAATCGGGTCCCAAAGGAGGCTTCTTGGGAAACTTGAAGTCGTGAAAATTGGGATTCGGAAATGACACAGGCTTTTTGGTTTTGGAAGTGATGTAATTCCCTGTTGCCGGGGAACTGGGCGTTGAGTTGGAATGTTGGAGTGAGCTGCCTGGCTTGGTGGGTTTACACAGAACGGGGTGGAGAGTCTGCTTGGTCCACAGGGTCCCCAGCCAGCCAGGATCATTGCAGCTGTGGTTTTAGTGTGTCGCTGGCTCTTACATGTTAGGAACTCTGAACTGAGTGGCCCCTTTAGGGTCCCGCCTTCTCCCCACTTGTTGCCCAAGCCAGGGATGGAGCGGCTCATTAAGGTGGACCCTGCCTCTGCTCCCAGCCGAGCACTCGCTCCAGTTGGGTGACGCAGTCCAGGAGGCAGTGCGTGGCCTGGGGGGACAAGGGCACCGTGTACCCCGAGACTGGGGGTGCATCCAGAGGGGTCCGGGTGCCCATCTGCCCCCCTTCCCCAGAGCTGGTGTGCTCTCAGGACAAGGACTGGGGTCCACACGAGGCCTTGGGGGCTGGTCACACCACCTCTCTACTAGGAAAGTGGTTCGGATTCCTGCCTGCTCCTCTCAGGTTGTGGGGAATCGCGTGAGCCCTGGGCCTGGGGCGTGCTCTGTGAATGGCAGAGGCTGAAGCAGAAGAACCAGTGTTCCCTCCCTCTCCGGCTCCTCTGCTCCCGCCTCGCTCTTCCTTCCCAAACAACAGACCCTGAAGCACCGTTTTAAAGCTCAGCTGGGGTTGACGCCTCCCCTGGGCTCTCGGGCTGCCTTCCTCAGCAACGGCACTGCGGACGACGAGAGGCAGCAGAAGTAAAGCGTCTGGAGCTGACGGGGCGCCCACGGGTTCTCGAGGCCTGTACAAGAGCTGATCACAGCCACGGCCTTTGGCGTGGTGGCGATGGTGCTGTCTTCGTGCTGATGTCTTCCAGGAGCTGGGGGAGCGATGTGTGCATTCCCTTCTTGCATTCTTGCCACAGCCCTGTGAGCTAGGGCTGTCATTACTGTCATTTTACAGATGAGGAAACCAAGGCACGGAGCTGTTAGTAGGTGGTGGGACATCCAGACCCCACCCCTGACCATCGTGCTCTGCGGCCTGACCAGGCAGATGTTCCGGAAACTCAAACAGCAGGTTTTACAAAGAGACTCCCTGACTTTTGTACCGAAAAGGACAAGTGTCACAGAGCCCGGGAGAGGAGAGCAGCCGCATGGAGGGAGGCACCTCCTTGCCCAGCCACAGCCCTCTAGCCACAGCCCTGGCAGGCCTTCTCCATCAGAGCTTCCTGGTGTGCTGCGGTGGTCTTGGCAGGGAAATGAGTTGTCCTCATTTGACCCGCATCTTCCTCTGGGCCTTCTCCTGCCTTGCTCTGCCTCTTACCTGCATCCGTGCGTGTCTTTTCCACAGGCCTAAGGACAGGGACAGTCTGCCCAGAACATGGCCCCAAACCTGCTGCGGGGGCAGGCTGCCAGCAGCCGAAGGCAAGGCCCAGGAGGTAGGCAACGTGGGTTCCTGCCCTGACTCCACCACTGAGGGGCTGTGACTGGCAGGCTGCAGTCCTTCTCTGTGCCTCAGTTTCCCTGTGTGTAGAACGGAGGTGGTGACAGTAGGACTCCCTCCCAAGGCTGTTGGGAAGATGAGATGCAAAGATCAGTACAGAGGCAGCATCTCCTACCCAGGAGGCCCCAGAGGGCTGATGAGGGGGAACCGGGGTGCCCACTGGAGTCGGCTGAGTGTGCAGAAGCCTCTCCAGACCCCTCCTCCTCCTTGTGGGCTGGCCACCTCTCCTCACCCGAGACTAGTATCTGTAACCAGATACTGGAGGTGGAGGCTGCCATGTGCCGTCCCCCTGATTAGATCCTAGAGGAGGAGCCAGTCTCGTGACTGAATCCTGGAAGAGGGGAAGCCCGTCCCATGACTATATCTTGGAGGTGAGGGAGTGGGTCCTGTGACTGGATCCTGGAGGAGGAGGAGGAGCCGTGTCCCTGTTACTGGATCCTGGAGGATGGGGAGCTGTGTCCTGTGACTGGATCCTGGAGGAGGGGGAGCCGTGTCC